GGAGGGAGGGAGACAAACATCTTGATAGTGTGGGTTGAATCAAGCAAATCCTGTTCCTCCCGGGGGTTTGGGATGGGGTGAGGACAAGCAGGGCGTGGGAAGGTCTTGGTGGCACCGAAAATGAACTGAGGCCCTGACAGGGAGTGCTCACTGTCTCCCTGCTTCCCGGGTGATCCGGGTTATTAAAAATGTGATAAGGATCGAGCCGGGGAGCGAGGCTGTGCTCACACAAATGGGATGCAGAGCAATATCACCAGCTCGATCAATACAGCTGGAAGGAGCTCAATAGCTGATGCAGAGAGTGCTGAAGAGCAAACTGGGCACTGCGGGGGGAGCAATTACCAGGAGCCACTCGCTGGAGTGAGAAGAGCAGGGGAGGCAGCTCCACACTCTCAAACACATCCTACTCACCAGGCAGGCTCTTATGACACTGATAGTCCCCTGCCTGACTGGCCTTTTCCACACCAAAGCCTCCAGCCTCTTCCCAGGCTTGGGAAGCAGCGGGACCAATGGTGAGGGAAGACCTGGGGAGAGACTCTTTGGAGTCTGTTTGCCCAAAAATCCCGAGCTGGGATAATTTCTCCCCTCTGGTTAACCCTAAAATGGTGAATAGGGGTGCACACTGGCACCCAGGGATGGCAGCAGTGAAGTCACCAGAGCTGTGCTGACTTTGCACTGGCTGGAGGTTTGGCTCCTGCCTAAAAGCTGCCAGGCAATCTCAGGACAGACACTGAAGTGTCCCTTTGGTGTCTCCTCACGTTTGTGGGGTGTCCTGTAGCCTGGGAGGGGGTCACTGAGGTGTGCATTTGGGAGGATGCTTCATTAATGATGTGCTCATACACAAATGCTGGCTTTGATTCCTGGCATTGTAAGGCTTGTTGTCAACCTGTGTCTGTTTTGGGATGTTCTGCCTGGAGAAGAGAAGGCTTTGGGGTGAGCTATAGCACCTTCCAGTGCCTAAAGGTGACCTGCAAGAAGGCTGGAGAGGGGATTTTTACCAGGGCTTGGAGTGACAGGACAAGGGGGAATGGCTTTGAGCTGAAGGAGGGTAGATTTAGATCAGATATTGGGAAGAAATTGTCCCCTGGGAGGGTGCTGAGGCCCCTGGCTTGGCTGTGTAGCTTTTATTAGCCAGGTTCTCCCAGATGTTGGGGTCACTCCAGAGGTTTTGTCTCCTGCTGTGAAGTGAGAGTGCAGGTCGAGTGCTTCCTGAAGCACAGGAGTGACTTCACCCTCTAATAACTCCTCCAGCCTCGTCTCCCAGGGAAGCCCTTTGTATTCAATTAGCTAATGTGTGCCTAGCACTTGGAAAATATAGAGTGCCATAGAATTGCTAAGTGTTGTTATTTAACAGCACATATTTAGAGGTTGCAGCCCTGTAGTATAAAAGTCAGAAAACCTACACTGTAATTGCCTGGTGCTGCTGCCGAATTTGCTGTGATTTGAGCAAAGCCTGGGGATTTTTCACCTGTAAAAGTTCATTAATTTTGGCTGCTGACCCTCTGGGGCTGTTTTTCCTGATGCCTCTTGAAGCAGAACGTTGACTTCTGGTGGGTGTTTTAAAAAAAGAGTGAAAAGAGGGGGAAGAATTCAGGATTTGTGTCTCCCAGAAATTCACCTTGGGATCACTCCTGGTGGTCTTCTCTGCGCCTCAGGTTGGACTGAGGTGGAGGGCAAAGTGTTGGTCAACTATTGCAGTTGCTGCAGTGTAGGGAGAGGGGGGGGAAAATCCTTGGTAATGGCACAGAGATAATAAGGGAGATGCTATTTGAACCCATCTCTTTGATTCACATCCTCTCGTGTCCACCTGCCTGAAAGCCTGTGGTTACAAAGCTGTATTTGCACAGGTGGAGGAGCCTTGGAGTCCTCTTTTAAACAGAATGTGAGTTATTTTCCTAATGGCTCCTTGCTCTTATTGCACTGGAAAGTTATCTTCTAGCCTGCAAAAGCACCAGCCAGGATAGGGAAGAGTAACTATATGAGGAGAGAAAGGCAGCTGTGAAAGTGTTTTGTGCAGGAATTAGGTCCCTCAGCTCTGTCCAGCAGCTGAGGCAAGGTGGGAGCTTAGGCAAAAGTCAGTTTTACTCTGTCTCAGTGAGAAATCTTTGGATCTCCATCTGAAAATACCCCTGAGATTGGGGTTTTCCACCCCTTGTCCTGCCTGTGTTTGCCTCTTGCCATGGGAAATCAGCTGAGAGCTGCAGGCCCTGAATGGCAAATGAGTTTGTGTTTGCAAAACGTGGGTTTGGAAATGTCAAGCGTGGTGAATGAGTGTGTAAAAAGGGAAAAAAAAAAACCAAACCCAGACGGGGACAGAAGCTGAGCTGAGTAGCTGGATGCTCTCACCCTTTTGCCCTCCTTGCAAGGGCTGACCTTACCAAATCTCTCTTATCCCACTGCAAATGAAGTGTGTCCCCCAAGGGTGGTTTATCTCCATCTCATTGCATAGGCAGCTCACGGCTCATTTCCCCCTGACCTGGGTCTGCAGAGTGGTTTTGTGAATATCTGGTGGAAAAAAAACCGTTTAGAGGCCAGAGATTGGAGCTGGAGCAGAGGGAAGGGGCAGGGGGCAGTGGGGGGAAAGGGTGGGGTGCAGGCCATGCCACCCCCCTGTCTCACAGAGGTGGTGCTTTATGGACATGGCAGCCACAGAAGGGGGGTTTTCTGCAGCCTGGAAAAAGATGGATGTGGATGGGGAGTAGCTTTTCCTGGCTGTAGGAAAAGACCGAACCAGGCACTGCTAATGAGAGCTGGGAAAAGCTGCTGCTGACATTTGAACCGGAGCAAATTGGTGTCTCTGGGGGGAGTGTGTCGGGGTCTGGCTGTGGCTGCTCTGCAGGCAGGGAGCCCTGGCAGCTGCTTCCAGCCCCAGGGAGCTTCCCCAAGGAAACTGGGCTGATGCAGGTGGGGATCCCTCCAAAAACTGTGCCGTGAGCTGGGCGAGGGGCCAGGACTGACCCTGGTGCTCGGAGGAGTCGGAACTGTGGGTTCAGCTGCGTGGCTGGAGCAAACCTCACAGCAAATCTCACCCCTGCTTCGGGTTCCCTGTGTGAAGCAAGACCATTCCCTCGCCCATTAGTTGCTAATTTAAGGAGCAGAGCACAACAAACCTGCAGCCTCAAAAGCTTGGGGATGTTTTCAGGGGAGAAAAGGCACAATGGATACATGCAGTGAGGGAGGCTGGGGCGGTCTGGCTTGAGAATGAAACCTTGGACTGCGTAGTTGTTCTGGTACAAAACATCCCATTTTCCTTCTGTGTACAACCAAGCCAGGAGGGCAGTCAGGCAGCTGTCTGCCTCGTGCCCTGCACAATTTGCCTCCCAGCTCTGGCTGCAGGGAGATGGTGTTTTTACGGGGGCTCGGCACATCTCCTGCTGCTCCGTTTGCATCCAGGATCTCCTCGGGCCCAGCTCCTCATTAGCCACCTGCCCTCGTTGCACGGGCTGACAGGATGCCGTGGGTAAATGGATAACCTGTCAGGGAGGCAGCAGGATAATATCATTCAAATGAATCAATAGTTCACAGGCAATTTCATGTTACCCAACGCTAATGCGGTTGTGTCCAAAACGCACTTAATCCTGTGTCTGATCACATTCCCGGGGGAGTTTGCCTGGGCTGGAATAGTCTTGTAACTCCATGTTTTGGAGATTTACAGACGCTGCTCCTGCGTGCCTGGGAAGGCAGCAAAGATAAAAAATGGGTTGGCTTGCTGCAAATCTCATACTCCACAGAGCCCAGAGCCGTCCGTGCCAGTGATGGAGGAGAATGGGCATCCAGCAGTTCCTGAAACTATTATTACTCCCACCTCCCTGCTCCATTTTAGCAATTAGCAAAAGAGAAATTAGTGAGGAAGGTGCCATTATTTCCTGCTAATAGGACAAGAAGGGTTGGACCCTTCTCCAGGAATCTGTTGTGTAGCTGCCTCCCTTGATGTGAGCAGCAAAGGAGGGCTTTCCCTTTTCGCTGTCATTTTTATAACATGCAGTCATTTTTATGCATTGTACCACTTTACTTTTTAGAGTTGTGAGAGGATACTCCCAATTCCAAAACCCCGCAGTTGAAGCACCTTCCCACCCTCCACAGGGTGTCCTAGGAGTGGCATCTCCTCCTGGTACCTGGTGCCAGTGCAGGGGTTGTTAGGATGAGGTAGGTCAGGGTTGGGTTCCTCCTCTCCCGTGGGAAGGAACTGGTTTAACTTAACAGTTTAAACTTGGTGTCATCAAATTGGTCGTGGTGGTGGAGCAGCTTCACTCAGCAGATGATGTTTGTCACCCAGGCTGGGGCCCAGTTCAGGGAAAATTCAGCAGAATAAAGAAAAGAGGTGGCCTTGGTGGCCTGGGGATCCCTCCTGCCCTGAGTTTGGAGGGAGAACCATTGCTGGTGTCCTCCCACTGCCTGGGGCTCTCAGGCACAGCAGTGTTTTCATAGAGAACAGAGCAGGGATCTGTTTTTGGGAGTGTCTTGGAGAGAGGGCAGCACTTGGGAAATATAAATCTCTGTGTGCTCTGGACCTCCCACAGCAGAGCTGACCTTCTCTGGGCTGTTGGAGCAGGTTAGTGGCTTCATCTCAAATACATCATCCACCTCCCTGCCTGGGCTGTGACCCCGGAGTCACAGGGAACTCCTGCCAGAAGGGGTGGTTTATAAACTGCAGAAGGAACACCACATTCAGGTGTGGTTGGCAGAAACCACAGCTGGGGAATGGAAACTTTCCATAACCTTTTTTGCAGGGTTTGGGTAGGTTTTTTTTGGTGGAATTTGGCCAATATAACCCTGGACTGGGCTGACATCTTCATTACAAGCCTGAGAGGGGCAGCACAAATCCTGTTTAGCACCCAGACCTTCCTCGCCAACGAGTGGGGGGGTTTCATCCCCAGTGTGGAAAGGGGGTTCCACATGTAACTCCACAGTCCCATCTTCCCTCCAAGGGTGGACTGGTTTGGAAGCTTTCAGTGCCTGTTTTCTCCTCTAATCCCATTTTCTGCTTTGTGCTGCTTTAGGAGTTCTCCCTCCAGCGCCTGGACAGCCTGTTGGATGACAGAGTCAACATCCTGGGATTTTCCATTTTCAACCAGTCTCATGCCTTCTTCCAAGAGTTTGTCCAGAGCCTCAACCAGTCCTGGCAGGAGAACTGTGATCACGCTCCATTCACTGGGCCAGCAGTAAGTAAAATTCATTCCCATCACCCACAGCCTCCCTGGGCTGGAAACAGCTACAAACCAACAGGAAAACCTTGGGAGAGAAACTTCAGGATGGTCCTGAGCAGAGCCTGGCAGTGCAGAGGTAGAAGCTCTGGTCTCAAAGGGTGCATTTTTTAATTATTAAATTTATTAAATAATTATTTAATCCAAGTAAACCCTGTGCTAAGGAGCTCAGGCTGCAGCTGTACTGCTGCACCTTGGACTGGCTTTTGTGGGGAGAGGAATGGGAAGGATGAGCCAGACAGAGCATTTTAGCTAAGTGGGTAGGAGAGGAATTTGGGTATCAAGCTGTGATTTGCAGAGGAGGATTTGATTTGGAGAATACTAAAGTGATCCTGAAAATCAGAGGCTGCCCAGAGGGACTTGGGGAGCAGAGCTCTCGAGGGGTTCTCTGTGCTTGGACTGGTGCACAGCTCTAAATTCAAGGCTAATCTTAGTTTGAACTGTGTTTTCTGGGAGTGCAGGGGATGATGCAGCTCTGATTTAGTGTTTCCCTTGTGAAGTTTGTCCCTGTGTGTTTTACCTCCAGCAACAATGGCTCGTGGCAGAGGGGCTGGGAATGCAGATGGCACAGGAAGGGCTGGGCTCAGGCAGATGCCAAAAGGCTGGGTTGTGTTCCACGCTCCAACATCTCCCTGATGAATGTGCAGATCAGGGCTGAAATCTTCCCCAGGGATTCTCCCAGACTGGGAAGGTTTGCAAAGCACATTTGCCACATCAGGGGTGCTGTGACTGGAGCTGGGGGAGAGGACAGAGAGAAAATACCATCAGTGGAACCCTCTTGCTTCTTTTTTAATGAGCTCAGAGTCCCCTTGAGGAGCTGAGGGAGCTCTGAAAACCTTATTGTCACCACCAAGTGATCCTTAACAAGCAAAATTAGGAGCTTGCTGCCCTTATTATTATTATTTCTGCCTGTTGGATGTGCCTGGGACCATCCTGCTCTCCCTCCTCCCTGCTCCAGTCACTTGCTGCCTGCACTGCTGAATCTCCATGGGATTGCTACCAGGAAACTTCATATTTGGATAACAGTTCAGAGGCATTAAAAACAAATTTCCCTCTAATAGTTACAAGCAGAAGTCAGTAGGAACGGGAGTGTAGCAGGTGTGATGGGGAAATTAAAATTCACATTACCCTGTGTTGTCTTGAGCAACCAGCAAAACCTGCAGGTGGAAGGATGCAGGATTATGCCTGGAATTCTTCAAAATGCCGTGTCCCAGGTGATGAAAAAGGGATTTGCCCTGGATGGGGAAGTTACAGAGCAGAGCTGAAATATTCCCAGGCAGGGCATGTGTTTCCTTGCCTTTGTCTGTGAGGAAAATTCCGCCAGGGATTGTCTCTGCTGTCGGAAATCTGGCAGTTCTCTGTGTTAGAACTTCCCCTTGTAGTCCTGGGAAGGAGTTGTCTCCTGGAATAGCTCGTCCTAAAGAGGGAAAAGGAAGCTCAACAGCTGGAAGTGACAGGAGGGAGGTTTCCTGCGAGCTGCAAAATCCCAGGGCTTTCTTCTAGAGCTGAGGAAGCATCTGACAAAGGAGGAGGGAGCTGCCTGCTCTAATGCCATTCTCATTAATCACATTGCAAAGAAAGGAAATCAGAGAAAATCATTCAAATTACAGATGGCTAGATTTGGTAATTAGAATTTAGGCTAAAACAGATGTTTGTAATTAAGTGTTTATGCCATTGAATAAAATCCAGATTGTAAAGTCTGTTTCACAGGGTTTTAACGGCTTTAATCCTCCGTGTGAAGTTTTGAGGGCAAAGATACAGATGCTAATGTTTGAGGAAGAAAAGGGGAAAAAAAAAACCAAACCACATGGCACAACCCAAAGTAGCCAAACCTGTTCAGTATTTCCCTGGAGAGCAGCTTGCCTTTAAACATGGCCTTTACACGTTTTTTTTAAAAAACATGTTTTTAAAACTTGGTTTTTTACATGTTTTTTACATGTTTTTTTACATGTGTTTTTTTTTTTTTTGAAGTGGATTATTCTGCTTGACTGCTGTTAGTTTTCAGAGGGGCAGGTCTGCTGTTGGGAGGAGGATGTGTTGCTGCCAGCAAGGAGCTGGAGCTCAGGCTCAGGGCATCTGGTGGGGTTCACTGTCCTGGAGACACGGGTTGGAAAGTCCAGCTGCTGACCTTTTTTTTTTGATCCTTTCTAGTTGGTGAGTTGTTCCCAGGGCTTTGTGTCCCAGCTGGACTCTTCAACACCCCCCTAGTTTTTGGGTACAGCCTCTCCTTGTGCAGCTGGGGGTGGAGCAGGGACCTCATCTCCCCTTCCCTGGAGCCCTGCCCTGACGAGACGCCCAGCAAGTGGCAATTTTCATCAGCAACTTGCATTGTCAAAGAATTTGGCTTCGGGGGTTGAGGGAAGTCCCCAGAGCCCCGTGGATCTGCTGACCCTGCCAGGGAGCTCTGGCATGGCAGGGATGGCACAAAACCAGCAGGGATCTGCACAAATCAGACGGTGCAAGCAAGGAGCAGAATCCATTTGTTAGCAGACAAATTGGCTGTTTGAGACAGGGTGAGAAAGCTGTGGGTTAAAATGAGGACATGAAAGGAGTGAGAGATTTTATAGGTGACCTGGAGAAAGTTGAGGTGAAGTAACAGGAAGGCAGTGGCAGATCCCCCTCACTGGATCTGCCTGGAGGGAGTTCCAAAGGTGCTGCCTCCAGGTCTCTCTCCACTCCCCTGCTGAAGGCTGTGCCCTCCAAAATGTGTGGCTGCTTTGCATCTTTTCCAGTGCAAAATCCAGCAGCTTCAGGTACCTCAGCACTGACTCAGGTGAGGCTGCAGGGAAGGGGAGGGGATGTTCTCAGCTGACCCCGTCCTCATTTTGGCTTTCTGGGCTGCAGGAGACACTTGCCTGCCTCCAAAATCCAGGGGGACAAAGAATCCAGAAATGCTGCTGCACTCCCAACACCCTGTAATTGGGAATGGCTTTCCTCCACACAGCTGCATCCCAAATTTCCTTGCTGTGTTGAATATGATCTGTTATACCTGAGTTACCAAGTGAATAATGTCAGAAAGAGATGAGAAACAAGAAAACACTGGGGTGAGCTGAGAGGCAAATGGGAGAGCTCCCAAGGAAAGCTGTGACTTTAATTTGAGAAAGAAAAGAGGAATGGGAGGGATTCCTATTCCCTACCACAAGGACTTGATCCTATGTATCACCATGCCCTCCCCAGTCTCTAAATTCCTTGAAATTATAAGGGGGCTGCCAGAAACCCTGACAACTTTTTCAGAGCAAAACATTCCAACCAAAAAAGTCAAATGCCTCACTGAGATCTGCCAGTCTCTTGCTCACCAGCTAATAAGAGATCATTAACTGCTGAGGGCAAATGGAAATGGAAACCCAGCAGGAGACAATTAAAAATGCTGGGCCAATATTCTGATTTGGCACGAAATGGTGAAGCTCTGGGGTCACAGGGGTTGTGTTTGGTCTCATAACAGTTTCATTTGTCCAGCTGGTGGTGTTAATCTGGTTCCTGATTCAGGGAAGTAATTGCTAATTGTGTGTGACATCCTGTGACCTGAGTGGGATTAAGTTCACAGTGAAAATTAAGTGTATGCTAAAGAGCTTCATGGAACAGGGGCTGAGGACAGGACAGGCTGGAGAGGCCCTGTTAGGAAAAACTAAAGGCAGGGAGAAGAATATATGATCTCCTTTAAGGATCTCTGAAAAATGCTTCCCAGGAGGGGAATGTTGGATCAAGCTTAGCAGACTTACCCCCAAACAGGAGGGAAGAAGTGCAGGAGAGATTTTTGCTGCCATTCCAAAGGGCCCTGTGGTATAAAATGCCAAATTTCTCTTCCCACTCTTCCACCCATTCCTTGTGTGCTCAAATTCCATGACCAAAGGTGTGCCTGTTCCATGGGAGACAGGTGAGCTGCAAGACTGGCAGGGGCCAGTCAAGCTGCCCAGGGCTCCCTGGAGAAACCTGGATGGGATTTGTGTAAAACAGATGAAACTGGGATGTGCAGGAGGAATGGGACAGAGCAAATGTGAGTCAGGGCTGGAGAAGTGAGAGGTCACCAGTGCTGTCAGAGCTGGTGATTGGGGTTTTGCTGGCATGAGGCTGGAATCCTGCCTTTTAACTGCTGCCTTGTGGGTTTAAAGGTTTTTGTGCTGCTTGTCAAGTGTCTGATCCCAGCCCACCGTGGTCAATGAGGTCTCACCACTGATGTGAGGAAGATCAAGCAGGGTGAACTCTGCCTTGCTCTGTTCAAATTAGTAATGCAGGGGAAGCCAAAGGTTTGTTGGGATGATTGAACTGGGAGAGATTGTCCCTGCAGGGCCATGGCAGCACTGAACAAACCCAGCCAGGCTTTGGGAGGAGGAGAGGATGCAGATTCCACAGCCAGGGTAAGGCAGGGAAAGGAGCCCCAGGCTGGAGACTGAGCCCGTTGCCAGGAGCCAGGATGGGAAGAGGATGCTCCTGGAAGTATCCATGAGGAAAATGTAGCCTTGGTAGTAATGAGGTGCAACGGCTTAATTCCAGCAGAGCCAGGAGGTGACAGTAATTAAAAGTGAAATCTCAGTCGCACCAGTGAACACGAGAGGGGAAATGGCTGATTATTAACGGGATCAAAGGCCTGGAAACGCTTGTGCTCGGGCAAGAAACAGGGTTTGTGAGGCTTGATGGACAAAGAAACCTGATGAAAGGCAAACAAAGCCAAGAGGAGGAGAAGAGCTGTGTGACTCTGGACATCCCTTCAGCAGAGCCATCACAGCAGGGAACTGGGGGTGTAGCACAGCACTGGATGGTCCCTGTGGGGTCTGAAAAGCAGGATTTGGCTGCTTGAGAAGCAGATCTGGCAAAACCTCACCTTGTGTGAATCTGCCTGTCAATGAAGGACACACTGGTGCCCAATAATGGCTGAAGCAGCACAGTCATCTTGCCTTCTGTGAGTGCAGGCACAGGGTCTCTGTTCTGCACAGCTGCCCATTTTAGGGACTCCACAAACCTGCTCTCAGGAGCATTCCCTCTGGCCAGCAGATTGATCAGAGTCACCAACATCCCTTGACTAGAAGAAGTGATTTACTTTAGGAAACTGAGGTGGAAAAGGATGGGAAGGGGCAGAGGCAGAGAGAGATGGAAAGATGACAACGGTAGAAGAAATTCTGAAGAATGAGGAAGCAAAAAGAGGTTGTGAATAGGGCACTGTCCTGCTTGCTGCAGGGAGCAGTGGGGGGCTGGGTTTTTGTCTTCCTGCCTGAGTTTTTGTCCCCTTTTCCCCACAGCTCTCCTCTGCCCTGCTCTTTGACGCCGTGTACGCCGTGGTGACGGCCGTGCAGGAGCTCAACCGCAGCCAGGAGATCGGGGTGAAGCCCCTGTCCTGCGGCTCTGCCCAGATCTGGCAGCACGGCACCAGCCTCATGAACTACCTGAGAATGGTGAGAGGGGGGCTGGAGTGTGCACTGCTGTGGCAGGGCTGGTGCTCCCCACTGCCAGCAGCAAGAGCTGTGCTGCTGCTGGCACAGGTTGTGCTGTTTGAAGGCAGCACTGGGAGTGAAAAGGGAGCAGATCTAAAGGCTGGTTTGTCCCTGGCCTTGGAACGACATGAAACTCCCCATTTTTCAGGCTTTGCTGCAGAAAAACTGGAATTCAATGGATTTTTTTTTTTTTTTTTGCTAGAGTATGAATGTTTCTAAGTGGTTTGAGCCCTGTTTTCAGTGAACTTGAGTCGATATAAGATCATGCTGTACAGTTGCTTAGAGCTCAGTAACAAGATGTGAGCTCCCCTGTGGAGGGGTTTGGGCTCATTTGAATCGAAAGTGTGGTTGCTGGAACCAAACAAGCCTAGTTCTGGCAAGAGGACACTCTGAAATTTCATCCTGGGATTGGCCAATATGATTCCATGACCGTGCAGAAGGAGCAGGTTTCTGAGTCTGTTTGGGGGGCAACTGAGACAAGGAAATTTCAAGAGACTTCTTTTCCCCCCAAGGGAAAGTTTGAGCCTTGTACCACTTCAGTCCATGTGTGTGAATCTGTTTTAAATCTCACCTTTAGTCAGAGCCAACAAAATCCTTCAGCTTCCCTTAGCTCTGGTCCTTGGAGCCCCAGTGGCTTAGCCTTGGGATGGGGGGAGCTGATGAGGGGCTGTGGAGGTGGTTTAGTCCAAAGCAAAGAAACTTGGGGAGCCCTGCACTTTGTTCTCCTGCTTCTGTTCCCCTCCAGGCTCTGAGAACAAGCAGGGTGGGGACACAAGGGCTGCACTGGGAGGGTGGTGGGATGAGCCACCTCGCTGGGCGCTGTAACTCAGTCTCTCTTGGACAGGTAGAATTGGAAGGTCTCACCGGCCACATCGAATTCAACAGCAAAGGCCAACGGTCCAACTACGCCCTGAAAATCCTGCAGCACAGCCGGGGTGGGTTCCGGCAGGTAAGAGCAGACACAGTGCCCAGGGGTCATCTCTGTGTCCCCCGGTGAGGTGGGGGCTCAGGGTGCTGCTGTGGGGACCCAGGGGGGTTGTAGACCCCCCCTCTGCAAGGAGAGGTGCTCAGCACCGCGTGGGTCAGGACATGGATCAGGGTATGGATCACAGTGTGGATCAGGGTATGGATCACAGTGTGGATCATGGTATGGATCAGGGCATGGATCACAGTATGGATCAGGGCGTGGATCATGGTATGGATCAGGGCATGGATCACAGTGTGGATCAGGGCATGGATCAGGGTGTGGATCACAGTGTGGATCAGGGCATGGATCAGGGCATGGATCACAGTGTGGATCAGGGCATGGATCACAGTGTGGATCAGGGCATGGATCAGGGCATGGATCACAGCGTGGATCAGGGCGTGGATCAGGCCGTGGATCAGGGTATGGATCAGGGTGTGGATCAGAGCATGGATCAGAGCATGGATCATGGTGTGGATCACAGCGGCTCTCGCCGAGCCTGGGCTGCCAAACACAGCAGGTTCCACTTGGTCAGGAGCACGTCTGGGATAATTTAGATGTGTCTTCGTGCATCAGGCCCCCGAGGTGGCGATGTCAGAGCCAATCTCTGTCCTGTCACAGCAACCTCCATGTGCAGGAGGTGATTCAGGCCGTGGAGTCTGTTCCAGGTACGAGCTCGCCCTCGTGGCCCTTTTGTCCTTAAGCTCATGGATACGTTTGCTCAAAATTGTTTGGAAAAACAGGAGAATTTCCCATGAAATGGGGAAAAAAAAAAGGGGGTACTCTGAACCTTTCCAAACAACTTCTGTGAGGGAAAGCAAAGGGGGCAACGCCATATCAGGAGCTCCCCACCATCTCTCCCCTGCTTGGCATGTGGGGGGAAGTTCAAGATCCTTCACCCCTCGGTTTATGGTTCCCCTGTGACAGGTTTACTTAGCTCAGACTCTCATTTGCTTTCTGTCTCAGTGCTCCTGGCTTCCTCCCAGTGTTGGTCCTTTCTCTCCTTGTCACCCTCTTTCTGTCCTAGGGATATTTCCTGCCTTGAGCCAAGGTTAAGGTGGGGTCACAGGTGTCAGAATGCTCAAGTTACATGACACAAGCCCAAGGAATTAGGGTTTTACTGGTAAATCCACACTTCATTCAGGAAAAGAAAAAATAGAAGTCCCAGAAAAAGAGGTTTTATCTTATTTCCCTGCTGACAACTCCACTGCTGCCCTTTTCTCAGAGATTGCCACTTCTCTTAGACTTTGGCAGAGAACAAAAGCTATTGTATCTTACCCTCACCAGCAGAGCTTTTTGGCATTGGGAAGTCTCCCCTGGTCTGGCAGCACTGAATTTCAGCCTTGGCAAGGATGTTACCTGCCAGTTCTTACCTGTCAAGTGACAGCTTGGCTTTGATGCTGCCTTTTGCTTCGTGAGAGGGGGATTGGGATGGCATTTTCCCCACAGTGAGATCTCTCATGGCATCAATGCCCTTTTAATCCTGTCCCAAGCCCATCATCCTGTGAACAAAAGTGACAGTTCCAAGCCCATCTGCGTTAATAAGGACGTGCATTCAGCTGGATTGGGGAAGAAAACGCTGCAGACCTCCCTGTGACAGCTTTGTTTTTGATGTGTTTAAATGTGGCAGGGACTTCACAGAAAAGGCACAGGTCCTCTTGGAGCAGAGCCTCTCCCAGAGCTCCACGGAGAGCTCTGACTGCAGCCTGATCTGCCCTGAGACTAAAGGCTCAGCTCTTCCCCACAAACCTGGTCTGACAGGAGAAAACCTTTCCTGACCTCTGTAAACGAGGAGCTTCGTGTTTCCGAAGTGCCCAGAAAAGCTGTGCTGGGATTAACCTTCCCAAATTTCCCATCAAGGGTGCAGTGGTGATGTATCACTGCCAGTGAAAAGGTGCTGGAAGGGCAGGGCAGTCCCTTGGTGGTGGCTGTGAACCCTCTCCTGCCACAAACACACCAGCAACGAGCTGGTTTTTGTAAACCTGCTCGGAATGCCTGTGGCAGCCTTTCCTCCTTCTCCTCTCCCCTTCTCAGGGCTCTTGCCTGATCAACAGCAGTGCCTGGAGGGGTGTCAGGCTCCCCCACAGCCTGAAATAGGGGTGTGTTTAGCTGGGAAGGGCATCCCCAGGGAGCTGTGGAACCTGGCAGGCTCCTGCCTGACCTCCCACCCCTCCAGGTCCCTGCAAAGGGAAGGCAAAGGCCACTCTGCTGGGCCACAGGTGGTTATTTTCTCATTGCCAGCCTGGCTTCTTGTAATAAAAAGGACTAAATAAATCATTAGAAATAATTTAATTAAAGGAATGGGCTAAAGAACAGGCGTTCACATCCTGGAGACAACGTTGTTCCCAAGGGTTGCATTAACTGATTTGCTCAGGCTCTTGTTTGAAACACTTCTATTCCCTCCTTAGTTTTAATCAACCTCATGCTCTCTGCCCATTCCTCTCTTCCTCTCCTTCCCTCTTTCTCTTTTCTCCTCTCTCTCCTTCCATCTACTGAAGCCACAGGGACTTCCAGCTCATCAGCTTTGACAGAGAGTTCACCAAATTTTGAAGCTGATCCAGCCAGCAAACAAATTAGAGACGCTTAAGACTTTCTAACTTGCTGTTGCTTTTGGGCAAGGAGAGGCAGGGCTTTTTGACATCCAATTTTTAATACATTTATGTAACGCACCAAACGTGTCTTTTCCTGATTTAGCTTAACTAGAGGGATTTTTTTTTTTATTTCCCACAGCCATATGAGAGCTGCTCCCCGTTCACAGGATGCTCGATAAAGCACAGGCTCATTAATGTGCTGGTGATCTATGGATCTGACAAGGGCTGAGTTTGTAAATGTCATCCTTTTTATTTTTTTTTTGCCTCTCTTTGCCCCTTTTGAAAAACATTGCAGCACACCCCTGTGGGTTCAGAGGAGGGCTTGGCAGTAAACCACGAGCTGAGGTTTGGCAGCTCAGCACGAGAAGGGGCTGAAGAAGGGCTGTGATTTAGGAAGGGAAAGGGCAGAGGAGGGGCAGGGGAAGCTGTGGTGGGGCTGGAGCTGTGGGCACACTGACCCCAGCTCTGCCTGGCCCTAAGTGAGGCAGATTAGTCTCTATTTAACTAAAGGCTCTGCTGGTGTCCTGAGACAGAGCAGTGGAGTGATGGGGCTGTTTAATTGGTATGTTGATGAGATACAGATGAGTTCCCAGTGATAGCTCTGAGACCCTCAGCAATCCCTGCTGCATCAAACCTCTTTAACTTGGAAGAGGCTAATCAGCCTCGATGGGACTTGTTCCTCCTTAGCTGTTACCCCCAGCAAGGGCTCAGGGACAGATCCTGCCAAGAGCTGAATGTCTTTTGCCCCCCAAGACCTGACAAACTCTGACATGCCACTATCAGGCCCTGTCTGGGCTATGCCAAGTGTCCATCGTGTCCAGAGGGGACATCAGGGGAGGAAGGGGTTTGTGGGGGTTGCTGCATGACCTCATGGAGGGTTGTGTGAGTGTCTCGTGGTTGTTCAGGTTTTAACAGCTGCTGCTTTCAGTGCCCTGTCCTAAATTCAGTGGAGGAAGCTTTTTTTTGCCTGCCTGCTGTGCTGGCATCAGCCTTGCAGTGATGTCCTTCGGGAGTGCCAACCCCGTGGCAGACCTGTCCTCTGAGGGCTTTCCCTCATTTGTTTGTTTTATTCCCTTTTTTCCCCCCCAGGCACTCCTAAATTCCCTCTCCTTGGGGCACCTTGATGAGGGATGATTGCACTCTGCACTCCTCCCTTTTCCTGGGGACACTGAAGGGCAGGTGATGGATGCAAGCTGTAGGACAGCACTTGCTAATCAGAGCCCAGAAGGTGTCTGGGTTTATTGCACTCCCCTGCCTGTTCCAAGACCTGTATTCAGGCCTGGCTTTACCTTAATTTTAAGCTGGGAATGGGGTTGGGAAGTACCTGTGGTGCCTCTGAGGCTTATGGAGAAGTCTTGCTATGTCATCTCTCCCTGCCACCAGCTGCCTGGAGAACACTGAGCAGAAGACTTTATTAAAATCATGAGTTGGAGTGGCATTCCATCATCTCACACCATGAGGAGCCTCAAAGCCTCTGCATGGAGGGGCTGCAGGATGGGAGGAGCAGCCAGGAATGGCCCCCCTGCATCGTGTCATGGATTTTCTGGGGAGATGAGAAATCTTTGGGTGTCCCTGATCCAAACAAACACCCTTTGCAGAGCAGCTGAGCTGAGGGACCTTGCCTGCCTGTGGGGATGGAGCAGTGGCACGAGAAATGGCACTTCCTTGCTTACCCCAGGCTCGAGGCTTTCTGGGCTGGCTCCCACTGAACCTGTGTGTTTGCTCCCTGCCTTAACAAGGACAAGACAGCAAGGCAGACCTGCCCCGAGGTGCCTGCAGGTGCTGCAGGCAGGACTGGATCTCCTTTGGTCAAGAGGGAGGCACTGGGATGTGCAGAGATGACGCAGTGGGACCACACAGCCCTGAGGGCATGGAGGCGACCTTCTCCATCCAGACCTGTCACCTGTCACAGGTTGTAGAGTCCCTCTCACAAAGGTATCAAGCTCCAACTTGCACCCAGGTGTTGCTCTTGCTGCTCTCCTAGGACAGGTATGACACCATTTCAGCTCCTCTGATCATTAGGGACACTCCTCCAGTTTTCAGGCTGTTTATTTCTGGCTGGTTTATGTCTGTTTATTTTTGTGCCAATGCCATCATTTCAGCTTCAAAAGCTGTTCTACCTCTTTGCTACGGGCCTCCTCCACCTGCTGTATTTATACAGACCAATCATATCCACTACTAAAAAACCCCCAGTCCTAAAAACTCGGAAGTCCTTGTCCAGAGCCTTAACAACAGGATGGTCTTATCCACGTCCACGTGGAGGATTTGATTGTTTTCCAGCCCATTTTGCAGATGGATATGTTTTCTGTTTTTCAGAGGCTCTTTATATGTAGATGGAGGTGATTAAAATCACCTTGACATCCATCTTGCAGGACAGGGAGGGATGTGAGGATCCCAGACATCCTCTGACACGTTGCACTTTGGAAACAACGAGTGGTGTGGGGAGTCAATTAGTGGCTCTGTCAACCTGTGAGGGGGACAGGGGTGAGCTGAGTCCCCCCCAGGATTTGGGGGGAAGTACCCTGGCACGTGGGAGAGCGTGGCTTTGGTGCTGTGTGAAAAGCAAGGTCAAACCCACGGCACTGTCAGAGGAGGAGGCAGGCAATTAGTCTCAGCGTGTGCCAGCAGGGGAGGGACAAATTGGAGAACAGCGAGGGCTGTTAAAATTAAAGTTAATCTGTCACTAATCTCTGGTTATGAGATCCAGGAGGGGAAAAAAAATGAGGCAATGTTTGTGAGTGATGACTCTCCCTGGGAGGAAGTCGCTGCAGAGGGGCTGCTCCTCAGCAATCCCAGAGAGAGGAGAGACCTCTATGCAGGGTTGGGGTGGATCCATCCCAGCCCATCCATGCACACCCTGTGCAGGCCAGTTAAGGCTGTGCTTTAAGGACCCCTACCTGTGAAATACCGGGTAAATCTCCCAGTTTGAGGCTGTGGTTCCCCCAGTGTCACCATGGGGCTGTGAGCATGGTGGTAAAGTCACAACAAGCTGTCAAGGGAACAGGGTGCCCAAAACTTACACCCAGCCTGCTCCAACACAGCATCCCTGTGCATCCATCTCCTTGTTGGCCAGATGACACTGGTGACCTCCCCAGTGCCTCTCCTGTTAGTGGGGAGCCTCCATGAGGAAGTGCTTCCCAGACATTTGCCTTCCCTGCCTCCTCCTTCTCCCCTGGGCAGTGGTCACAGCACCAAGCCTGACAGAGCTCAAGTAGTGTTTGGACAGTGCTCTCAGTCACATGAGGGGATTCTTGAGGGTGTTCTGTGCAGGGTCAGGAGCTGGATTTGATGATCTTGTCCCTTCAGACTCAGAGTATTCTGTGACTCTGAGTGTAAGCTGTCCTGCTTGCACTTCCCACTGCTCCTTGTGCCTCGAGGTGAGGAAGCTGAATTAGGGACATGCCACACATTGTAATAATGGCTTGTTGGTCACTTGGGCTGGATTTGCACCAACAGCTGGGAGAGGAAAGGACTTGGCCACTCCCTGAACATCCTGAGCAATTCAGCGTATGCACAGCAGGGCTGCAGCATCAAGTTGTGTTGGGCTCAGATCCAAGAGCTGGGAAGTGACTCCAAAGCCCTGGAGCCGTCAGTCACAGCAGAGGCAGAGCACTGCCAGGAGCAGGGGCTGAGTGCACGGAGTCAATCCCAGGGCACAGTGAATCCATGTGTATCCTGTGCTCCCAGGGCAGAGTGAATCCATGTGTATCCCGTGCTCCTGCCTGGGCCGCCGCTCCGTGTCACCTCCCACCCGCCTCCTTGGACACAGCAAGATTGCTCTGTGACAGAACAGAAATCCATTTGTTCCTGCCACCCTGCCAGCTGTGGCACAGCCGGAGGATAACCTGCCTCGTGGCAGCACGAGGGACCTGGGAATGGATTTGTTCTGGCTGTGGAAGAGCCGTGAAGGCTCCCCTGCGTGTTGGGGTCACCCGCTGCCTCTCGGGGGCACAACACCTCACCTCAGTGGTGTCTGAGAACAACAATCATGCTTGGACTGATGGGGACAGAGAGGAGAAACAGGAGGGAGAAGTGTTCTCAGAGGGAGCTGGCCTCCCTAAGCCACCCCTCTATCCATGAGGAAAAGCAGAGGCTCTTTTAGCCAGAGTCTAATTTGCATGCTCTGAGCTGCTGGAGGTGCTGATCTCCCTGCCCAGAGCTCTGAGAGAGGGAGATTAGGCTCTTGAAGTTAAAATTAGGTTCTGTTGAATATTCCTCCCCCCTGGCTGAAGGCAGCAGGATGGTTCTGTTGCGTCACAGCTGAATCACAGTGTCCTCCCAAGCACTGGGGGACTGGTCCCTGCCATCCGTGGTGGGAATTGGGCTTTGCTGCAGTGACACTGATGCTTGGATGGGTAAATTAGAGCTGTTGGGTGTGATGAGCCCGGATCAAAGCTTGGAGGTGCTTAATTGGAGTAGTTGGCATCCATTGCAGCAGCAAGAGGAGATGAGTCACCACTGAGGACGTGCCTTCCTTCCACCATCTGCCCCCAAGGGTGGAGGGCAGAGCCTCCAAAACCACGCTGGCAGGGACAGGCTTGGAGAGCTTTGGCTGTGTGGGCACTGCTGGGTAAGACTGACCCACCTTGGTGGCGTTTTGGGGACAGCACACCGGGCTGTTGGACCACCACGAGCCCCAGGGAGCTGCTGCAGGGAGGACATGTGGGAAGGCAGCTCCTGCCATGAGCAGGGACAGGTTTTTGGCACTGCAGAGCAGGTGGGGGGTGCACCAGAGGGTTAATCTCTCTGCTGACCTGTTGTGGGGTGCCTTGTAAAGGTAATGGAGCATTCACAGGCGGGCCAGCCCGATGGCTGTCACTCACCAGAGCCATATGGTGGGTTCTGGGCAGTAACTCGCCCTATAAATTCCCTTATTGTGCTGTTTATCCCTCCAGATTGGCCACTGGCACGTGTCTGAGGGACTCAGCATGGACAACAGGATCTTCTCCTCCAACATATCGGACAGTCTGTTCAACACCACGCTCATTGTCACCACCATCCTGGTAAGTGAGGGGGTCACCTGCAGTTCCCAGTAGCTCCCAACCCACAGGGGTGTCGATCAGCTGGAATATCCCTCCCTCTCCCTGCCCCCCTGGACTCCCAGTGTGAGGCACTGCACGCTGGTTTCATCCAGAGCAGGCCATCAAATCTCTAATTACGGCACTGAGGACAATTCATGACAGTGTAATTAAACTCAAGTCGATGTTTCATATGGAAATGATATTTGATGAGTTCAGAAGCAGCTGGGGAGAGGGCTGGGATGGGGATACGTTGCCATTTTACATTCATCTCTGAATGATGGTCTTGTTTTGCGTACAGCTGGTAAGTTGGAAGGGACAATTGTCCCTTCAACCCATAAAATTATAAAAATTGGCCAAGATGGGCACAATTTTTATGAAGACTTCACATTTACAGGCACCACCTTATTCAACAGGTTTCCCCTTCCGGGTGCTGCCTGTCCAGTGATTTTTTTTTTTTTCAATGCCTCTGCTCCTTCCTTAAAGACACCCAAAATCCTATTTCCTCATGTCCCACAAAGTTTGAAAGGGAGAGCAGACTGGAGAAGTGGCTCTTAGCCAAGAGAGGATTTCCTCGTGTCCCACAAAGTTTGCTGAAAGGGGGGGACAGACTCTATACCAAGAGAAACTGAGTCTGTATGTCCTGCAGACAGTCACTGGGCTGCTCTGGGCGTGTCCCAGTTGGAAACAGCCCCCAGAGCGTGATCCCTTATCCTAAACTGGGATAAATCCATGCAGAGCCCAGTGAATCCCAGTGTGGAAATAGCTCTGATGGCTTTACACCCCCTGCACCAAGCTTTCCATATCAATTATATCCATACTGGGATGGTGTGGCCCTTATATCGGGATTGGATCTTTAAGGCCCCGTCCAACCCAGACCATCCCATGACTCCATGAGTTCCTGCCACTCCCTGCTCCGTGCTGGCTAAGATGGGAATGACAGCTGCCCAGTTTCACTGCAGGAAAACCCTTACTTAATGCTGAAGTGGAACCACCAGGAGCTGGAAGGCAACGACCGCTACGAGGGCTTCTGCGTGGACATGCTGAAGGAGCTGGCAGAGATCCTGCGCTTCAACTACAAGATCCACCTCGTTGGGGACGGGGTTTACGGGGTCCCCGAGGCCAATGGCACGTGGACAGGGATGGTTGGCGAGCTCATTGCCCGGGTGAGTGAATTAACTCTGCTCTTTTTAACTCCGCCCTGCCGGGACCTGGCGAACGCAGAGCCCTGATGGGTTTTTTAAGTGCTGAGGAGGGGTTTTTAGTCCATTTGTGAGGTTTTGAACGTGTGTTCTCCCAGTGGCAGATGGGTTTGTTGTGGTGGCGTGACAGCAAGAGCAGGAGCAGGGCCCCAAGGTGCTCTCAGTGGGTGCTCACTCTGCTGGAAAAGACACCTGAACTCTGGGATCCTGCATAAGAGCTCGTTACAGAGTGGATTATTTTTTCTCAGTGGAAAGATGAATGAAAGCTTGCAACAGAAAAATGCACAGGGCTTGGTATAAACTGGGAAAAAAAACTCAGAAAAACACAGTCTTTGGGAGGAAAGCAAGTAAGAATCGCATTTCTACCCAGAAAAGTTTTGGGAGATTCAATTCAGCTTCTTAACTCTGAGTATTTTTTTTTATTTTTGGAGAACACTTTCTGTTTGCTTGAAGCACGTGGATTGAGGTCTTTTCACTGCTGTGCTCTGTGGTGCTGCTAACCAGCAATAAAGCTGGGTGCTTTTCCCTGGGTTTGACCATAATTCTGTGTACACCTGTGCCCATTCAGGCTCTACCCCCCTCCCTGCTCTTTGTTTTCTTCAGCCCTGCCCCAGGGTTCCTGGAGCTTAAATACAGCTCACAAAATGCTTTGAGATCCTTAGTAAAATAGGCTCAGCCAAAGCTAACAGTGAGATTGATGCTATTTAAGCCAACTTTTCCTTACTCACTTATTTCTGCCCTGTCTAATCATTACCAAAGCTGCGAGAACCCAGTGACACTTTCTCAGCTGGTGGCAAATCCTCAGTGTGTTTGTGATAATCCCACCACTGTGGGAGAGGAGATCCTGAGTCACTCCATCATTTACCTCCTGCAGAGCAGAGGAAATCCAAATCCATCCCCTGTGGCTCCAGGCAGGGATCTGGGGCTCCTGCCACAGCTTTCCTCCCAGCTGTGGGAGATGAGTGAACATCAACTTATTGATTTATTAGGTGGTATTTGGTTGAAGATTGGAGTTGAGGATCTTGGGGGTCTTTCCCAACCCTTAGTGATTCTGGAATCATCATCTAGAAGAGGCCCAGTGGCCTCTCTCTGCTTCTTCCCCACATGGCAAAGGGGACCTGGCTGATGCTCGTCCTACCTGAGGACTTTCAGCCGAGTGCCTCAGGTCAGGTGGGACAACTCCAAGTCTGAAAGAGGGATTTTGGGATTTGCTGAGGGTCAGAGACAGGGCATGGAACAGACTGCAGATTCTCCTGAGCTGGCTCCTGTCTCCTGGGTCGCCCTTCCCCAGCGGAGCGATGATTCCCGACGCCAGCTGAGATCCCACCTCCATCTGCTCCTTCAGCAGAGCCTTCTGCACGGCTGTTTGCAAATGCTCCAGGCTATTGGCATGGCTTTTACCCATCTTTTTCTGCCTGTGTATGTACATGCACACACAATTACCCTTGTGCAGCATTCCTGTCGGGAGGCAAGAGGGAAGGCGCCGGGAGCAGCGTGGGATCTGTGCAGACAAAGGAAGAGAACAGCCACCAGACTTTTGGCCTACTAACCCTGACAGTGCCTCCCCGTTAAATGGGAGCTTCTGGAGGCTTGTTTTTCTTTGGTGGTAGGTGTTTTTTAACTTAATCTCCTCGTGGAAACCATTTGTTTCTTCTGCAGCTCGAGCCTTATTTAGGAGGGTTTTTACTTCTGCTTCAGCAGGGCAGAGCTGGTGAAGCCTGTGAGGCTGAATCACAAATTGGAGAAGAGAAGCAGCTTTCTCTGCTTTGTTCTTGCTGGGTCCCCGAGAGTCTTTATAGTGGTTTCAGCAAGTTTTTGATCAATCCCAGGGACTGGCACTTTGGCTCAGGTCAGCCAGGGCAGAGCTGGCTGTGTGCTTGGTGTTGTGTTTACTCAGGGCTGCTTGGGACGTGGTTTTCTGAGGGTATTGCACTGTCCAAGGGATTCCTCTCTGCCCTGGACATCCCCCAGGGGAGTTTTCCCTTGCTTCCAGCCCCTTGTTCATCCCTTATCCCATGGGATCAAGCAGATCCTGTGTTAGGGGCACACATTCATCATTTGGTGGATTTAACCCTTGGACATTCTTCTCCATCCAACCTTTAGCACAGAGTTGCATCAACTGCAACACAAACCTATCACAGGGCTCCCAAATCTTACCCAAAGTGAGAGCTCTGCACCTGCCTCTGTGCAGCACAATATTATTGTAGGGAAGTGGTTCCTCCTTCACCCTGGTCAGCCGTCAGAAAATAAGGTTTGACTCACACACACTTAATGTGCAGGACCGAAAGGTCAGAGAATTATCCAGCTCCATGCAGTGCCTTTCCTGTAATCCCCCTGTGGCACTGAATCTCCTCAGAGCAACTCTGGGCTATATGGGAAAAGTGTTTCATTTTATTGCTTCTAAATTAACCAGCTATTGATTTATTCTTAAGAGCTGAAAATTCCATTACAGCTAATTGTGCACCGTGATATGATTGAGCAGGATGCTACATAAACATAAATTTGTGCTTGACCCAAATTTTCCAGTACATATCTTATCGACCTGCTCGCAAAACAAATGGAGAGGGAAGGAAGAGGGGGATTGGGGTGGCTTGGGAAGAGCTGTAGAGACACCTCTGTCTGTGTCAGCAACCTGACTTGTCATCAGAGCAGGAATCCTGGACTCTTTGGGATCAGCTGCTGGAGGTTTGGCTGGGGAGAAATCACTTGGAAGGACTCAAAGAATCACAGAGTGGTTTTGGTTAGAAGGGACCTTAAAGATCATCTCATTCCACCCCCTGCCATGGGCAGGGACACCTTCCACTAGCCCAGGTTGCTCCAACCTGGCCTTGGACACTTCCAGGGATTGGGCAGCCACAACTTCTCTGGGCAACCTGTGCCAGGGCCTCCCCACCCTCCCAGGGAAGAGTTTCTTCCCAATATCCCATCTAAACCTACTCTCTGTCACTTTGAAGCTGTTCCCCCTTGTCCTCTCACTACAGTTCCTAATGAAGAGTCCTTTGAGCTCATTCTTTTGTGAAAGATGTCCCAAACTTGGAAGACACCGGGCTAATTTGTCCCTCTGAGCACGCAGGGCAGGCAGATTGAGCACCCAGTTCCTCCCTGGAGGAGCAGGGCAGTAAAGCTGCTCTCCCCCCTCAGCATTCCCGGCTCTGGCACAGCCTGTGGTCTCCAGCAGTTCAGCTGACACTGCACACGTGTGCTACCCACAGCAAACAAGCAAGGGGCAGCAGCAAATCTTCCCAACTCCTATTTTTTGGCATCAGAGCCCTGGGGGACAATTGGGCTGGAAGAATTATGTCTGACTCCTCTCCGCTGCAGTGCAGTCTCTGGCTCACAGTCCCTGCTGGTTGTCTGCTCTTGCCTTTCTCTCCCTCTCTCCCCAGCACATCCTCGAGCTGAAATGAATTCCCTGGCATGATACAAACCGAGGAATGTATTTTCACAGCAGTGTGACAGCCTTCTCCTTGTTCCACACAGCCTGCAGTTGCTGTCCTGGCAGCTCAGTGCCTCACAGCAAACCCTTGGTGCTCAGCTCCCTTCCTCCTCCACATGGAATTGTGTCTGTCTGGGGGATCCCTCAAGCAGCACTTCCTGAATTTACCCATTGCAGGAATGCCCTGGGGCGTACAGGGGAGCTAATGGGAGATGCTATGGTTTGGGTTTGATTTGCTGGCAGGATTTGATGCTGCAGTTTTGATAAAAGACCTCCCCAAAAACCTCCCTCTGATGCAGCCTGGGTACCTCTGGCTGGCTGGGTTTTTTTCCAGTCCCCTGTCCTGCTCAGGATGACTGGGGTGGAAAGGACTGGTGTGTGCTTTGTGCAGCCTCTATCAGCTGCCCAGGCTTCCTTCAGCACTGTTTAGTAACAAATCACCTTTGGTGATGCCAACACAGCAGATCCAGGAGCATTTCCAGGGCAAGTGTATTTGGGTGAGGCTGGTGCTGGTGTAGGAGGCATCTAAAGGTGCTTGTAATGATGAGTGGGTGACTGTGCAGGATCATTTGGGGAGTGAGATGATGTGGAATAATGCTGGACCTTTGATGTGTGTGTCAGTGGTTTGAGTCTGTCCTGGCTCAGTGATGATCAGAGCTCTTTTCCAAGTGAGGGGGAGATGAAGTTGTCCATCTCCTGGAAGGGTCTGGCCTTGGGGCCAGCAACACCCAGAACTGAAAGGACCCTAAAGCTTTGTGGTGATGGTTTTCCACCTTCCTTGCTGGTGGCCAGGTGGTGCTTTCCCTTCAACTGCTCCGAAGAGATGGCAGGAAGGGGAAAGGAGGGAGAAGATGCTTGAAAACTGGCAGAGTCCTGCTCTCCTCTCGCAGTGGGTGTTGGTGCTCAGTGAGAAAAGCTGTGTGTGGGTGGAGGGAGGGAGGGGGAGTCTGTTTGCACGCTGTCTGTGCTGGCAAGTGTGCCATGGGGGGGCTCAGGGGGTGGGGGAGCGAGGAGGGGTGTGGGGGTTGTTGTGCAAACACGGCCAGGGACGGGCAGAGGGGTTTGCATCGCACTGCTGGTGCTGCCAAAATCACCCCCAGCACAGGGAGTGTGGGCTGGGCTGGGCTGGGCTCACTGCATTCTTTGGGGTCCCTATTCCTGGGGCTGCACTTTGCCATGGGCACAGAAAACTCCTGGCACACACTTTGTCCTGCCATCCACGGATAGTCCAGGTGAAGGAGGATGGGTGAGGGCAGACCTGAGGCTGATATCTCCCCTGGTTCCTGGTCATCCCACCCTGACTGTGGCTTAAAGGGAGGGCTGCAGCCTCCAGGGTTTTCAGGCTGTCACTTTTCACATGGCAGAATTCCTGCATGTCCTTAAAAAAAAAAAAACCCAAACAGCGATTTTGGGGTGACCCTCATTTAAAGGCCCTGCCTTTAAATGCAAGAATGTGCATCTGAGCAGGCAACCTGGGTGCTGCTCAACCTGAAATAGCTGCTGTCGGATCAGGTGGGCAGCTGGAGCAGGAGCAGTCAGCACACTGATCCCCTGCCATGGGACAGATCTGCAGATGCAGAGCTGCTCTGCCAGTGCTGCAGAGATGCAGGTGAGCAGGATGCAGCCAAACTGCCCTGCAGTGGCTGCTGCTGATGTCAGGGTCGCCTGGAATAGCAGGGAACCTCTGGAGATCACCCTGCACGGAGCAGGGTCTCCTCCAGCCAGGTGCTCCCACTGCATCCCAACAGGTTTCCAGCGGGACAGGTACCTGCACTGGGTCTGCAGGGGGGGTAATACCCAGTGGCCGGGTGGGTCTGAAGGTTGAACAGCTATTTCACCTTTCTAGAAAGCTCTTCAGGCCCACAGAGAGCTCTCCCTGCCCTTGGCCACGCTGTCAGTGCCCTGTGGGCAGCGCTGGTGAGAACGATGCTGCCACGAGCACCCAGGGGATGGAGCTTCCAAGGTGCTGTTCCAAGGGACTCCTCCTCCTCCTGGAAGAGATCCCAGCCCTGTCCTCCTCCTGGCTTTGTTTTCCACGAGTTTGACACGGGCACAGCCCAAAGCCTCGCCCCGCTCAGACTTTCTCGCCGTGTTTTGTCTCCGCAGCCTGGCAGAGGGTGGTGAAGCGCTGTGGGGCCGGAGCAGGGCTGTTCTCCCGGCTGCTATCCCATGCCGTGGGAGGCTCTGGAGGGATCCTCTCCTCCCGGGCTGACGTCAAGCCCCATTCATCACCATTAGCGTCGGGCTGAGCCCTGTCAGCGCCCGCGGCGAGGAGGCGGATGCCGCCCCTGGACTGGCAGTCCCTGCAATTTGCTTCTTAAGGCCCCTTAATTGTTGTTCCTCCGCAGGAGCCGGCTCAGCCCCCGTGTTTAACCGGTGGCAGCCAGAGCCTGTGTGCTGATGCGGGCAGAGCCCACGGGAATGCCAGGTTTGGTGCTGGTGTGGCAGCTTTTATCTCACACACCAGCCCGCCCCGCCCGGGCTGCCTCCCGCCCGGTGAGAGTCTGGCCGTGTTTTAGCGGTGCTTTTGTTAGAAGAAGTGTCTGTGTCTGCTCCCAAAATGCTCTGTGTCTTTTTCTAAGCCTATTTCATGCCGACATTTATAGCTGCAACTGTGCTGGGAGGACGAAAACCCCTTCTTCCCCCCATCCTTTTCCTCCTGTTCTCCCTTTCCCCAGAGCCCAAATGTGGACAGAGAGCAAGAAGCACAAGGCAAAATCCATTTCTTTGCTTAGCCCTTAAAATTCCAGCTCCTGCCTGGGCTCAGAGGGGGGAGACTGGCGGGTGCTGAGGCTTGCAGAGCTCCTCTGTAGCTCAGTGAATCACAAGAAGTTTTGTGAACACGGGGAAGCAAAGTTGAAAGCATGAAATGGGTGATACTCGGGCAGAGAATTCTTTGCATGCCATTCCCAGATCAAAGCTTCTCCCTGTCAGGAATCAGCTCCTAACTTGCATGACTCTGAGCCTGCAGAGAGAGAGAGAGAGAGTGAGACTCTGGCAGATAAAGCCACGAGGAGCTGGGTCTCTGCTGCACAGAAAGCTCTGGCGTGGGAGAAGGGAGATGGAACCGGGCACAGGTTGGAGCAGGTGCTGCACGTCTGATGTGGCAGCAGTCCTGAAATGACAAAGGTCCCTTCAAACTCAGGGTATTCTGTGATTCTACATGTTCTGGAAGGGTCTCAAAGGATGACAGCTGGGAGAATAATCAGAGTTTTTTATAATTACCAAGTTCACTGATGGCATCCACGTGCTCCCCTGAGAAAGGTGGTGGCTGAGCTGGGTAAATCTGGGGCCAGTGTTGCTCCTCTCATCACCACCTTCGTGTTGGCCCTGGGATGGGAGTGGAAATGTCCTCAGAGCTTTGGCATGAAATACCTTTGACGTGGCTTATTTACCATCCCTTTAGTGTGGGGCTTTACTGCTAGAATTGTGTTTACTTTGGAGAGCTGGCAGAAGAAATCCATTGTCAGACTAAGCTGGATCTTCAGCAGGGGCTTTGCTGGGAGAGCTCTCCCCAGGACAATAGTACCTGCAAACCCTTTTAAGTAGAGACAAGAGAGGTTTAGGAAGCTTTAGGCTTTCCTTGTAGATAAAATTCTTCACATGCCACGTTGCACAGATGAACTGATCCCATTTTAGTAATCTGCTGGTGTTTACACAGGGCTCAACTGCTCACACACCACGTTGTCATTATTGGTGTCTTTTAAAAAGCCTGTGGGTAAATGTCTGGCTAGGCAGAAATTCTCCTTAGCTCATAATTCATCCCAGCCTGAACCTCTTAGGAATCTGTAATAGCTGCTTGGAAACAAGTGGAAAAATCTGGCACTGAGCATGTCCAATAAAACACTCCTGCGTGGACTGTCACCTCCACGACCCCCTTCACTGGGATTGAGGATCACCTTGACTTTCTTTTCCCTCTCCTCCACCTGATGCCTCCAGCACTGCTGCTCTTCCCTCTTGCAACTCCAGCCTTTCCCAGGACCATCATCAGGCCTGATGGTGCCTTGGCTTCTGCACAGACCTTGTCAAATTTAGGGACAACAGGTGCAAACAGCTTTTCTTTTCTCCCCCTTCTCTTCTTCCACGTGCACAATCATCTTCCTGCAAAGCAGTCAAGCAAATGGATAAGGGAGAGGAGGAGGTTTCATTTTTACAGAAAGCAATTACAGACCTTAAAAGAGCTAAAGTAATAAAAATAATATTTAAAATTCAAATCCCTTATCTATATTACAAGGGTATTAACACAGGAAGGAATTATTTTTATTTTTTTATTTCCCCCTAATCTCATTTGCTTTGCAAGTCAATCTGCAAACTTTAATGCCAGTCCTCTGAATTTTTTTGGAGGTTGATCTGCAGTTTGGGAAGTCTGGGGTTGGCAGGTTTGTGAACTTCATGACTCAGGGGATGTGGGTAATGATGCTGCTTTTCTTTCTTACCTGTGCCACTTGCAAGGGGCAAGGAAGGGCCAGCTGTGCTCAACAGGGGCTTGGGAAGGGGGAGCTTGTATCTTCTGTAGATAAACACGACATTTATTGTTCTGGTGGCTCCTGTTTTGCCAGGTTTTAAAGCATTAAATGAATAGAAATGGCAGTGAGGCCAAGCAGGGGCTGCTGTTGTGTTTGCTGTCAGCACAGTGGGGTCCCCACGGGGAGCCTGTGAGTGCAGAGAGAAAAACATCCAGGTGAGGAAATGAAACAGGGGGAGAATGATCTGTAGCATCTGTGAAACTGGAGTGTGTTTGTGTGAAAGGGGCTTGTGTGAAAGCCACCCAGGGAGAGGGACGTGCGAGCCCAGCATGAACTAGCGGACAGCACCAGCAAAACATCCTCCTTTTGGGATGGCCCAGAAAGGTGGGACATCCACCTTCTGGGGCAGATGTCCTGTGTGTGGCCCCAGGTGTGGCTCTGCTGCTTTGCCAGCCTCAGGGCCCTGACCTTCTCCATTCTCCTCTCTCTCCAGAAGGCTGACTTGGCTGTGGCGGGGCTGACGATCACGGCGGAGCGGGAGAAGGTGATTGATTTCTCCAAGCCCTTCATGACTCTGGGAATTAGCATTCTCTACAGAGTTCATATGGTAAGAGACTTACTTTATAACCATTTATGTCCCTCCATTATTTGCGTGCAAACGTGCCTGGTTGTAGAAGAAAAATGAACGACTCATAAAAATATTTGGGTTTCTTATTTAAACGCAAATGGGCTCGACCTTCATTCCCTTCTTTTCTCTGTGTGTCAGCTTGGTGGATTCGATTCCTGCTCAAACCCCCTGCCCTTTGGCTCCTCTTCCCCATCCTCCCTGGGCACAGGATGCTTTTTTTGGGGTCACAGGGTGGCTTTATTTTGGCTCTGAGCCTGCTGGGTAAGGTGTTCTAAGTGCCCTTAGCGCTGCACTGGAGGAGCTGTTTTAAAATCATGGAATCACAAACTGGTTTGGGTGGGAAGGACCTTAAAAACCACCCAGTTCCACGCCCTGCCACGGGCAGGGACACCTTCCACTAGCCCAGGTTGCTCCAAGCCCCTTCCAACCTGGCCTTGGACACTTCCAGGGATAGGGCAAACATTTTCTCTGGAACAAAAGCAGTTTTTTCAGCATCTCTCTCTGGTTGCCTCTCCACTGCATTCAATGATGTTCAACAGCTCCAGCAGCAGTGTTGTGGTTTTCCACTGTCCCAAAAAGCAGGTCAGGCATCACATTTAGCAAGTTTGGAGCAAAACAGGTGGGAATGTGCCCAGGGATTTATGTGTGCAAGCATGTTGTGTCGTGGCTTTGCTCAGACAACACTTGTCTTACATTCCCATAGATTCCCTTTTATTTGCATCCTCCACTGCTTTATCTTCTCCCTGAAGCTCAGGAGAAGCCAGATTTTCCCCTGCTATTCCCACATGGGAGCCTCCAGTTCCCCCAGTGTCACAGGCTCTGGCAGCCAGGCCCTGTGCAACAGGATGTCTTGTTATTCCCAATAATCTGCATTTTGGAAATGTTTTGTGCTTTGCACAGTGTGGAGTGTGATGCCAATGACAGTGGCTTGGTCTCTGTCAGCTCCACAATAGCAGCCAAAAGGATAAAACCCTCAAGCTGCCTCTCCCAGCCCCCTCTCCACCCGGGAGGCTGCTCAGGATGCAGCGTTGGGGACGAACAGAAGCAAATTCATGCATCCATCTCTTGTGCTGAGTGGCTCCTGCCAAGAGCAAACAAGTAATTAAAATCTAGTTAAAATTCTGTTTCCTCTGGTACATGCAGAATTTAGGATCGATGACTTAACTGATCAAAAAAAAATTAAAAAAAAGGGACTGACTCTTCAAGCTCCTGGAAATCAGATGTAATTGTCCCCTCCTCACTACAGTTGGTTGGTCACACCACCAGCTTCCCTGTGGATCTGGGAGGTGTTTCTGCCAGTGCCTCTTGATTGGGATTGTTATCGAGTTTGGGGATTGAGTTCTGTGCTGTTTTAGGAAGGAAATCCTTCCCTGTGAGGGGGTGAGGTCCTTGCACAGGTTGCCCAGAGAAGCTGTGGCTGCCCCATCCCTGGAAGTGTCCAAGGCCAGGTTGGAGCAACCTGGGCTAGTGGAAGGTGTCCCTGCCCATGGAACTGGATGAGCTTTAAGGTCCTTTCCAACCCAAACCATTGTGGGATTCTGGGATTCTGTGCACGTCCTGCCTTGGATTCACACCATAATCTTTGGCAGGTCTGTTAAAGCATCATTCCCTGAGCAGCATTCCTCCCTCCAGAGGAAGCACAGGAATGTTGGTGCAGGGTTTGCACAGGCTCTGCTCTGTATGTGCCAGGCATTTGCTGCCTCGGGGAGCTCCACAGGAACGTGTCTCACACATCTATTTAGGGTGGAAGTTCCTCAGGGCAGGGAGCATCTGCTGCTTGTGCTGGTACCAGAGTAACACAGTACAGCCCTGCTCCAGCCTTCAGGACCAAACTGAGCAGGATTAATAATTACAGACCTCAGAAGGGTTTGGAAAATAACACCCTGCTGTTGGTCAGGACTCTTCAGCTGCCTGATAAAGGGCCCAGTTAAGATTTGGGAAGGGGAACTGCCCAGTGACCCGGGTAGGCTTGCAAACACATCTCCCAGGTCAGGTCACCCCAAAGTGAGCCCCACTTTGCTGCACTGAGGCTATGAGTGATGGCAGGGGCAGCCAGGAGCAGGGAGATCCCATCAGAGAAGCTCAGAGCCCCCCCTTCCCTCTCCAACACTTGGCACCTCTTTGTCCAGCCCTTCCCTGCTCAGCTTGAGGAGAGTGTCTGAGAGCTGTGTGGCAATTAACTCATCAAACTGGTAAATATTTGTCTAACAAGATAGTTAATTGCTCTGGTTTTCCTTTAAGGATGTGGTTTGCAGAGCAGCCCCATCTGCTTCCATCCCCCCCTCCTTCCCCATCCCCATCCCAAAAACCACCTCTGCAGTGTCAAAAACTGCAGCTGACGTATGTTAATCACGGCTCAGATCAGATGTAGCCTAATAAATAACCACAAATGAGTTTCTCCCTTGCTGAGGAGTTGTCTCCACGCCCTGGTCTCCTCCCAATGCGATGACATTTTATTTTAATTCCCATGCAACTCCAGTGGCAAGTTGATTTCTCGCCCCTTTCTCCTCCCCACGCCGCCAACCTCAACCACCACAGTGCCTGTGCCTCTTGTCACACATAACCAAATATGGCAGCTCTGAACAGGGCTGTCATTTTTCTCAATTTCACTTGTTGTGATATAATCAAGTATGGATTTCTGACACAGGGACTCTAACAGGCTCTCTGACTCGCAGGCTGCTCAGAGAAAAGGCTTGTTTTGTTTCATGAGGTTCCCACTCCCAGGCAGGGGGTGGATGAGGAGCCCACTGGGCTTGGCAGAGGGCTGAAATCAGGTGTCCAGTGCACAGGGGGATAAGTCAGGTTTATTTGTAGCGTGCTTTGCTCACACACCTGCCCCTGGAGCAGGGAAGGAGGGATTAGACACAATTCTGGCTTGTCAGCCCTGAGAGTCCTCACTGAGCACCCCCTCAACGAGGAAATGCAGATTTGGTGAGGACACTGGAATAGCTGAGTTTAGGCCAAGGGAACTGAGCCTTAAAGTTTCTACTTGATCACTGCAAAAGACACAAAATGGGAAGGATGAAAAGCTCCTTGACAGCCGAGGCAGAGGGGCTGAGGGGAGCTGAGCACCCCTCCTGCATCCCTGGAGCAGGGATGGGAGCAACTGCTGGCCCCAGCAGCCTGTGTTTGGCTTCTTCTTATTGACTCCAGACAAAGGACCTTGGAGAAGGATCTGCATCTGGATCTGCATCTGGATCAGACGTGGTCACCCTAAAATACCCACGCTCTGGTTTGGGCAGACCAAATGCACTGCAGTTGGACTGAGCACAAATCAACCTTTCTGCCTCTCCAGGCTGAGTTTTCTGCCTTTCCTTCTGACTTCCAGAAGCAGCAGGGAGTTCTCTTGCCTGCCTTTTTTAGGGATAAACATCTATGAGAAATGACATGGGTAGGACTGACTGTTTCTGCAAGAGGGAACGGGGCACTTGGGTCCCTTCAGACCCTGGTCTCTTACAGACCTGACCACAGACAAATCCAGGACCAAATAGCCCTGTTCCTCCTCCTCTTCCCCAATGTCCTGCTCATCCAGGCTGTCTGGTCACCAGCATGTTCCCAGAAAACTGATTCTCACTGGCTGAAAGTGAAGACTTCCAAGAACAACTCAGGAGGGTAAATGAACCTCTCCCACTTCCATCTGAGGATTTGGAGGAGGCCTTCATCAATTATTGGACATTTTGAACATGTCTATTCCAGGAAAAATAGCTCTTCCAATTAACTGAGCCGTATTGGGACCGGCTAAAAATATCTGACAGGCTCCAGATATTGTCATTCCCATCTTCAAAACAGACAGATAAGAGAGAGAGAGTTTGTGCCCTCCGTGGGAACAGAATATCTTTATTCTTATCCACAACTGTGAATGAAAGGAATATGTAGCAGCAGCCTGAAAATGACTGTAGCTGAAAAGAACCAGAAGTACTACTACTGTAAAGTCACAGGAGAGATTCACTGCCAAGCTGGAGACTTAAAGCTTCCAACGCAATTTCCTTAATGAGAGTAATTTATTGACAAACTGCCCCAGAAATATAAAGAAGACATCAAGGCCTTAATTGCAGAAAAGGAACTTTGTTACAGGAGCATCTCACGAGGGAGCCTCAGCCAAGGCACTGCCAGTGCCTGCGAGTTTCCTGCCAGTTCTGGGATGCCAGGGAGGATTAAGCTGCCTGGAGTGATATTCTGCAGTTTGCTCAGCGAGGGCAGCTGGTGCCCTTCACAACTCCAGGCTCCTGTTGCCTCATTTCGTTCCTGAGTGTGTAAAAACCTGTGGAAATAAAGAGGTACCTGAGCCAGTTTAGCTCCAGGTGAAGAAGGGAACCAGGAGCATCCAGGAGAGCAGTGAAGAGAAGAGTTTTGGTTTCCTGTTGGCATCGAGAAATCCCTGATCCTCTGGATGGGGTCAGTGAGAAGTGCAGGGGGAACACACCTTGGAACCTGCAGAGTTGTGGGATGGTCTCACCCCTCTGAACTGAGAGGAGCAAAGGATGTTCCTGGACTTGGGAGTCCCTCAGGGATTCTGGGGGTGTAGTTTCCAGCAGTATCTCTGGCTCTGAAAGCCCTTGGCTCGGGTGCAGATGCTGGAAAAGCAGCAGCAGCTGACCGAAAAATAGGGAAAGGACAAAAGAAAATATTATCTTTGACTGTTTATACCAAGCACACTAAAATAACCAAGTTCAGAAGAGAGATCTTGTCTTAAATAGAGGCTCTGGAATTATACCCTGGACCTTTGCTTGGGAATTGACTGAGAATTAATCTGAGAATGGATGCTGGATGGTCTGAACCACTGATTCTTAACTCATCTCTCTGTTAAAAGCCTTAACAAGCCAGAATCTCAAAAAATGCTCATGCCAGAATGGTTTGGGTTGGAAGGGACCTTAAAGATCATTTAGTTTCTGCCCTCCCACCATGGGCAGGGACACTGTGGATCCCCAGCTCAAACTCATCCTGTCCTTAAGGATCCAGGGCCAGGAGGTTGTGCTGTGATGGGTCTTTGCTTCAGGCAGGGCAGGGTTTGCTGCAGGAGGTTTCTGAGATGTTACAGTCTCAGCTGGTGACTGGAGCAGAGGATCTCACAAGTCTCCTTGGATATTTTTAGGAGAGGAAGATTTTTGTGAAACAACTGTTGCCTTTTCTAGGAACAACTTGAGAGCCTCCAGAAGAACCACCAAGACCTTGTGAAATCCGGGTTTTTGCATGAGGAACAGGAATACTTCAGTAGTGAAACGGAGTTTGGATGGAAATAGAATTTAAAGCGCTGGTCTGAGTCTGGGGAAGGAGAAAAAATTATTCACCACCTTTGGGTTAAGAACAGCTCTAAAGTATCAGTACTCTGGGTTTGCTACAGCAGTGGAGGTCGGGTGTTAATTATTACCAGCTATGATTGGTTTATGTGATGCCACAGATGGGCAGGTAGGGCAGTGGATCAGGGAAGAAATGAGGCCTCTGTGTGTCAAAGATGATCTTTTTGTGTAGAGTGAGCAACCTACAGCAGAGCAGTGCTGGGAAGCAGCTGCTGGAGCTGCTCTGAGCAAGCAGAGAGAGACATTTTCAGCACACAACAAAGAAGTGCCAGTAAGAAACACACTGACAGCCTGGCCAAGATGTGATAAAAGGCTGTTTCCACTCTGACTTTACAGTAAAAGCCTTCACAGAGCTCTGACTCGTGGGAAGCCTCCCTGTTATAGGTGTTGGGGGCACTGTGGAGCTGGTTTAGTGATGCCAGGACTGACTTTGTGGTTTGGGGCAGGAGATACAGGCTCAAATACACTCACCAAAATGGGAGGTGTTCAGCTTTTGAGGAACTCCTCCTGGAAATTAATCCTCTCTTTGAACAAACTGTGCTGCCATTTGACAAGATTTCAGTGGTGGCAGCATCCTTGTGAAATTTTAAAACACCTTGAGAGAAGATCAACCTGCTTTTTCTAGCAGCGAGGCCTTATTTTTCAAGGAAAGGTGGTTTGCTGAGAAAAAAAAAAAAACAACACAGGAAGTTCTGACGCATCCTGGAGATAAAAATACCCTGTTCCCTGAGATAAAAGTAATAATTTTATTGGGTTATTTTTTTACAAAGAAATAACATTTAAAGGCTGAAGAAAGAAAAACAGAAGTATTGAAAACATATCTTGTTCGGTTTTTCTCTCAATTCACCTTTTTCTTTGCCTGGAGGAACAAAAGTGGGTGAGTGGGGAGGAGAACAGACTTAGGAGATGAATCCCAGTGGGGAGGTGCTGCAGGACTCGGTCACAGCATCACAGAATACACTGAGCTGGAAGGGACCTACAAGGATCATTGAGTCCAACTCCTGATCCTGCACAGGACCGTCCCCAAAAGTCACCCCCTGTCCCTGAGAGCGTTGTCCAGATGCTTCAGGAGCTCTGTCAGCCTTGGGGCCGTGCCCTGGGGAGCGTGTTGTCATTTGTTGTGTTGCTGTCACCTGTTTCCCCTGGAAGGCTTTTCCAAAGCCCTGTTTATCCCCCTTCTTCCCTTTATCCCCCTTCTCCCATTTATTCCCCTCCTCCCATTTATCCCCCTTCTCCCCTTTATCCTCCTTCTCCCATTTATCCCTTTTCTCCTATTTATCCCTTTTCTCCTATTTATCCCTTTTCTCCTATTTATCCCTTTTCTCCCATTTATTCCCCTTCTCCCATTTATCCCCCTTCTCCCATTTATCTCCCTTCTCCTATTTATCCCCTTTTTCCCATTTATCCCCCTTCTCCCATTTATCCCCCTTCTCTCATTTATCCCCTTCTCCCCTTTATCCCCCTTCTCCCATTTATCCCCCTTCTCCCCTTTCTCCCCCTTTTCCCCTTTCTTCCCCTTCTCCCCTTTCTCCCCCTTCTCCCACCCCCTCTCAGCATCAGCGCCGCCGTGTTTCCTTCTGCCTTTTCAGAACGGACCATTCACTCTGTAGAACCACAACCAGGCCAAACGCCCCCTGTGTTTCCATTCCAGGGCCGCAAACCCGGCTACTTTTCCTTCCTGGACCCCTTTTCTCCCGGAGTGTGGCTCTTCATGCTGCTCGCCTACCTGGCCGTGAGCTGCGTCCTCTTCCTGGTGGCTCGGTAATGTCGCGGTGCCTTTCCCTTCCTCGCGGTGCCATCTAGCGTCACACTGCCACACCCGGGGGGACACGGGGACATCCACGGGCCCCAGACACCGCTAGGGAATGGGACAGAAGGATCCCAGCCCTCTGCCAGCTGGGGAATGAGTGGTGCCACCGAGTCCCCGCGCCCTGGTGCCTGGGATGGGCATCGGTGTGCCTGGGGTGGGCATCGGTGTGCCTGGCAGGAGCATCATGCCCTGATTCCTAAATCTGGGTGGGAGAAGGTCTGGCAGTAGTGTTGGTGCCCTGCAAATGCTCCCTGTAGGTGCCTTTTACCCCTTGTCCTGAGCAGGGAGGGTGGAGGTTGGCGGGAACCCACAAATCCATTTGGAGATTTTAACGCAAATTCCACGAGGGATATTTGGCTCCTCTGGCCATGTACAAACCCCAGCGTGTGTGGAGGAAAAGAAAGTTCATTAATATCTTCCAGCAGCCTCTTGGTTGACATGCAGAGCCTCCCTTGGCAGCTCTCAGTTCCATTCCCCTATGACTAATTTAAGTCAGTGTTAAAATACATCCCTGAGTGCTTCCCTGCCGTGTCTCCCATTGAGGCCCAAGGTCTGAGCTCTGCTGCTGTTTTTCCCTGACCTCCCAACAAGCTGCTTATTGTTGGTGGCATAGATGGGCTTTTGCAGGCAGGGTTGAGCTGAGTCCTGGCGGTGTGTTCCACCAACGTGCTTGGGGCTTGAGGGCCCTTCTGGGACACTCTTAATACCCAATTCTCATTCCACAAATTGGAACTGTGCTGTCACTTGGTCCCTGAGCACGGCTAAAGTTGTCATCCTGACAGGGGCTTTAATGGGTTCTTGGAATGCTTTTACAGCCTCAGAAACGCAGTTCTGAGGGGAAACCATTGAATAATGCAGCCTCATGCTCTCTGCAAACCGAGAGCTGGTGCCTCTTTAGCCCCTTCCTCATATTTTAAACATGATCCTCCAAAAAGGTGCCTTTACCCAGCTTCCCACTGGAGATGGAGGTCTGGCTGCTGCTCCCTGCCTTGCTCAGCTATAAGGAGCTTTTGACCCCGTGAATTGCAGGGACTCTCTCAGAGTAGAGGGTTTCACTGCCAGTGCTTGATCCACCATGGAAAGTCTGCAGGAAATAACCTCCCTGGCATCCCAGTGAGGCAGGAGCAAAAATAAACCCCTCATCTTGGTTAAATGCTGTGTGAGCTGGCAGAGCCCTGAAGCTTTTTTGGCAGTAGCCCCAAAATGACCCTCCCAGGCCTCAGCTTTGTTAACCATGGTAATATAATGAACTGCAGCAGAGAAATTAGAAGACTTTCTTAGCAACCAGGGAACTGAGGCTTGGAAACAGCAAAAAAAAGAAAAAATAGAGTTAGGCTGCAGTCACTTCAGTGACAGGCTGTCAGCTATCTCACATTCCCGCCTCTGTCCTGTCTCTGAAGTACGTGATGCTTTGAAACACCAGCACTCAGCTTCCAGCTGGACCTTGCCAGGCCAGTCAGACCTTCTCAGAGCAGCCATTTGCACCAGGGCAGTTATTTTTGTTGGTGGTATAATGCAGTCAGGTCTCACACGCTTCACTTTTGAACTTCCCGTCAATGCTCGTGCTCCAGCAGGGAGCCCAGCCAAGGATGTTTGATTTCAATTTCCCATCAAGGCCGTGCACACGTGGAATTATTGCTGTGGTGTGTGAATTTGCTCACAGGGCTGCAAAAATCTGCCTCCTTGCAGCCTCCCCGCGGCCCATGCCCAGATTTTCAGCTCAGCAGAGCCTCTCTGCTGAAGTTTTTTTGCAAATCTCTACAAGAAAGCCTCTGGCTTCTTGAGTCTTAGAGCAAACATTTCACACAGCTCTGAGCCCTGGGCATCAACTTGATGGTGAAGTGCTTCCTGCTCAGAAAACTCTGCCTCCAGGAGAGCTAGAGCTTCACAGCTTTTCTTTTTTTTTTTTTCTTTTTTTTTTTCTTGGCTTCTTCTCTCCGAAGTGTCCCATTTCCCGGTGAATTACCTGAGTTACCTGTTTCCTGTCCTTTTAGGTTGACACCCTATGAGTGGTACAGCCCCCACCCCTGCTCCCAAGGCCGCTGCAATCTCCTGGTGAACCAGTACTCTCTGGGCAACAGCCTGTGGTTTCCAGTGGGGGGGTTCATGCAGCAAGGCTCCACCATCGCCCCCCAGGCACTGTCCACCCGCTGCGTCAGTGGAGTCTGGTAAGGAGGGCACCCTCCCCTCCAGGGAGGCTTCTGGGGGCAGAAGGGGATGGAGAGGGAATTTCTGCATGGAAAGGGTTGTTAAACACTGGAAGGGGCTGCCAAGGGAGGTGGTGGAGTCCCCTTCCCTGGAGGTGCTCAAGGAATGGACTCAGTGCTCTGAGTGACGAGGTGGTGGTTGGATGAAGGTTGGGCTCGATGGTCTGGGGGGCTTTTCCAGCCTCAGTGATCCTGTGGTTTTGAGAGGTGGAGAGCAGATTCAGTCCACGGGGAAACCTCAGGTCATCATCTTCTCTTCCCCTCTCCCTAGGTGGGCATTCACCTTGATCATCATCTCCTCCTACACGGCCAACCTGGCCGCCTTCCTCACGGTGCAGCGCATGGACGTCCCCATCGAGTCCGTGGATGACCTGGCTGACCAGACCACCATCGAGTACGGCACCATCCACGGCGGCTCCAGCATGACCTTCTTCCAAGTAAACCCCATTCTTTGGCTAAAGGGGGTAGGGAGTGCAGAGGGCACCCTTCGGTTACATTTGGGTGCCACTCCAGCCTCTCGTGCCCGTTTCATTCCAGTTTCTGGCACGGAGGGGGTTTCTGGAGAGATCCCTGCCTGCTTGGTTGCACAGGAGTGGGATAGACCCACAGTGTGAGGAGATGGGGAGAATGGTGGGAGAGGGAAGGAAATTTGACAAGTCAAGTATCTCCATGTGTTTTTGATGTGACCTTAGCTTTTACCTGAGAGTCTTTCAGCAATGAAACCTTTGCCAAGCCCAGGCAGGTTCACAGTTGTCACAGTGCTGGAATCCATGTGTGGTCAGTGGCACTGAAGATAAATAAATCAAATGTATGCACAGTTATGTGGGCCATTTAGCCCAATTTAATTTTTATCTTCCCTGCTCTATTCAGAAGGGAAATAAATGAGTGAATCTATTCTGCAGCACTCTGAATGCACAAAGAACTGCTGGAGGATTATTTATTTATTACTTGTTGAAATTCCAAAAGGAGAGAAAGCTTTTCTCACTTTTTTTTTTCCACCCCCCTCTGAGTCTGAACTGAATTTGGAAGCCTGAGAAATCTCTGGAGTGGGCCTGAGCTTTTCAGCCCAACTTTACACTCTTCAGGGGTTTGGCAAGGAGCTACTTTTAAGCCAAGCCTTGCATCTGCAATGAGCTGAACAGGGCCCGAGTGACCCAAGGTGGTTGTGTACGAGGCACTCGCTTAAGGAAGGCTTTCAAGTTTAAACCCCTGGCTGTGGCTCTGCGCTGCCTGGCGGGGGCTGGAGTCCCTGGGATCAGAGAGGAAATTAGGAAGAGATGTTTTTGTGCCATTTGCAGTGCTTTAGGATGTGTTTGGATCCGTTTTCCCCCGGTGGAAGGATGGTGGGTCGAAGCAGCGATGGATTCCACAGCCTACCTCCATCACCCCTCCCTTCCCAGCTGTGTGAAATGTGTGTCCACTGCTGAAGCACCTGGCCTTGTAACCTGTCCTGGCAGCATTTCCCCTGACAAAAACACACAGGTTTAGTGTTTGAATTGGGAACAAACACCCCTCCTGCTCGTCTGTCTCTTGCCCAAGTGACTGCGCCCAGAGGACAGGGCTGGACAGATGAGGACAGGAACTAGGTCAGCAGCAGATTCCCTAAAGCTCTCCAGCATCGCTTACCAGCCACAGAAAATGAGCCCTTGACAGTGTGAAATTCCTAATGGAGACCAGAGCATGTTTATATTCAGTCTTTGTGCAAGCAGGTTTCACTCTTTGCTCAGTACAGGCAAGAGAGATTAACCACAGTCGGCTTTCTCTGGATCAAACCAGAGTCTGAGGGGCTGGTGGAGCTTTAGTTTATTGTAATCAATGAAAAGATTTCAGTTCTCTTCAGCAGGTGCTTTGATTTGCCTCACAAGGGGGTGGACCAAAATCTGGATTTGGGGGCTCCAAAGAGCTTTAGTTCTGCTCTCAGTGCCCTCCTTGGGGTGCTGGTGTCTGGCTCTGACACTGGAGAAATATTAGGACAAGGTTCCAGTGATAGCCAGTAGGGTGTGACTTCTTCAGAGGTTTAAATCAGACAAGCACAAGCTATTTCTTCTGTCTTTTTTTTTTTGGTCTGTTAACAGAAACTATGAATTTTTCTAAAACTGAATTTACACAAAGAGCTTTGTCCCTACTGGAGTTACAGGCATGCCTTTCATGCCCAGCTTTGCCAACAAAGTCTCAAACCCACCAAGATGTTTGGGCCTCTAAACCTGATTGATACAGATGCAGGTTAGAGTCTCAAATCCACCAAGGTACTTGAAGGTTAGAGTCTCAGATCCACCACAATATTTGGGTCTCTAAACCTCACTGATATAAATGGAGGTTAGAGTCTGAAAACCACCAAGATATTTGGGCCTCCACCACAATATTTGGGTCTCTAAACCTCACTGATATAAATGAATGTTAGAGTCTCAAATCCACCAAGATATTTGAAGGTTACAGTCTCAAATCCACCAGGAGATCTGGGCCTCTACACCTCATTGATATAAGTGAAGGTTAGAGTCTCAAAACCACCAAGATATTTGGGCCTCTAAACCTTACTGATATAAATGCAAATTAGAGTCTCAAACCCACCAAGATACTTGAAGGTTAGTCTCAAACCCACCAAGATATTTGGGCCTCTAAACCTTACTGATATAAATGAATATTAGAATCTCACATCCACCAAGATGTTTGGGCCTCTAAACCTCATTGATGTAAATGCAGGTTAGAGTCTCAAACCTACCAAGACACTTGAAGGTTAGAGTCTCAAACCCACCAAGATGTTTGGGCCTCTAAACCTCATTGATATAAATGCAGATTAGGCATCTAAACCTTTTCTGAACCTGGCACCAGATCTGCTTTGACTCCTCTCCCCTTTTCATCATGAGTGTCTAGTTTGGGGTTTAGTTTAGGGCAATCAACGCTCCTCCTCCTCCCTCAGCTGTCGCTGGCTCCTTCCTTCCTGCAGAACTCCCGCTACCAGACCTACCAGAGGATGTGGAACTACATGTACTCCAAGCAGCCCAGCGTCTTCGTGAAGAGCACGGAGGAGGGGATCGCGCGCGTGCTGAACTCCAACTACGCCTTCCTGCTGGAGTCCACCATGAACGAGTATTACCGTCAGCGCAATTGCAACCTCACGCAGGTCGGGGGCCTTCTGGACACCAAGGGCTACGGGATTGGCATGCCCGTCGGTAGGCAGTGAAGACAAATTCTAGTCCTTCTCAGCTGTCGGCAGAGGACCGGAGCGTTTGAAAGGCTGAACCGGCTCTGGAGCCGCCGTCGCGTCTCACGGTTCTGCCCGGGGGCGTTTTTTGGGGGTCTCGGCTGCCCAAGGTGCCCGCTGAGCCCCTGCTCTGGGCCAGAGCCACGTGACACGCGACTGCGGCTCTTGAGATATGATTTCGTGTGAAAGATGTCTCGAAATTGCTGCTTATTTTCTGCATATTATGCTCTCTGCTGATTGTCTCCTTCCCGAACCAGTGTTTGTGCCTCGTTTTGTGCTCCCTGTTTTAATCCCAGAAGTGCTGTGAAAGTAATGCTGCTGTAACTGGAGTAGTTTTTAGCACGAGTTTCTTAACAGCTGGTGGTTCTTAAAACTCCAGGACAGAGAATTGGGCAATTCAGTGGCTATCTCAGGTAATAATCAGGTTTAACAAATGCAGGGGGTTTGTGTTTCACCATGTGAGAGCCAGCAAGAGAACATCATCTCCTAGGGCAGCACGGAAAAAGGATGTAGTAGTTGTTATTCCTGATCTTTCCTCCAGTCCTGACATTTAAGCACTGGCACTTAGCAACATAAAGTTAAGGTGAATTACATAAGGCCCATCACACAAACAGTCTCTCCAGTTTAGGTAACATGGGTAAACTTGTAAAGTCACCTGACTGTGAGCACAAACCCGCACTCTCGGGGCTAAATCTGTTCTGACATTGTCTTGTTAAACAGTGAAACCGTAGCAGATAAGAAGAGCAGAAAGCTGCTCGCTGGGACAATAGTGCAGAGTTACTGGGAGAACTGGGGTCTTTCCCACGGCCCTTCCTCAGGATCCCTGGTGGCAGACACCAGGGTGCACTAGAGCTTGGCACCAAGCACAGAAGTGTGAGCAGCTCTACCATGAATATTTGGGCTTGGATGATCCTTGGGGTGCCTTCCAACTCAGGGTATTCTATTCTGTGACCAACTTGAGGCAGGGAGTGCTAGAGCAAGGTCCAAGTTGTAGTTGGAATGACAGCAGAGGGACCTCCATGGTCTGGAGGAGCAACTGTGTGATGTTGAACTGCCCATTCAGTCCCTGCAGCCAAAGCTCCCCTGGTATTGGACCTCCTTAGCTGGTCTCAGCTGTGTGGCTCTTGGTGGGCAGGAAAAATACCTTCTGCAGGGGACATTATCCAGGTTTCCATGGCTTACATGGAGTGATGTCCCCTCCAAACCCTTCAGAGACGAGCTGTTGTAGCTGGACACACGAGTGGGGAGGAAGAGTGGGGAGGAAGGCTGGCCCAGGGGGTGCCCTACCACGTCCCTCTTGGTGTTGCAGGCTCTGTGTTCCGAGACGAGTTCGACCTGGCCATCCTCCAGCTGCAGGAGAACAACCGCCTGGAAATCCTCAAGCGCAAGTGGTGGGAAGGAGGGAAGTGCCCCAAAGAGGAGGACCACAGAGCCAAAGGTGAGCCACACCACTCCACATGAGCGTTCCTGCCTGAGAATTGCTTTTTCCCCTTCTCCTGACCCGAGATTCCTTCCCTCACGACTCAAGGAGAAAGCCAAACAGCTCCGCCGCGCCTCACGCTGTGTGTTTTTGCCTGGGGCAGAGAGAGCGGGAACAACCAAATGACAAATATTGGAGGCATATGGAGGGTAAATTAGCTCCTAATGAATGCCTGGGAAAATGGATGGCTAGAGGGATCAGACCAAAATCCTGGGTTCCTTGAAGGGAGATGGATCTCCACCACAGGCCTGCTGGTTAATGGCTCCGAGTGAAAGCGTCTTTTTAAACAGCCAGGGCAAGGGACACAAGGACTTTATAAGTACATCTGTAAGCTGAGGAGCAAATTCTTTTGGGTAATGCTATGCAAATTGCCATAAAAGCTACCACATTAGGCTGATGTCCCAGCGTGAGAGCAGTTGCCAGCTTAACACAGTTGCTGCATTTTTTAGTCCTGGCAGTCGCCCTCTTCTCAGCAAGTGTTTTCTGGGAGGCCAGCAGGTCCCCCAGTTAAAAGGATGATCTTCTGACCCTTCTGAGGGCACAGACAGAGAGCTAACCTGGATCTGTGGTAGCTATTTTGGTTTTATTGACCTTGCAGCAGCAGTAGGTGTGTCTGTGCAGTTCATGGATGGGACCCCACAGGGCTGTGAGTCGAAGCTCATTTTTGGGCTGTGCTACACTACAGGCAACCCCAGCTATTAATCTCAAGGCTGAAGGTGTTGGCCCGGTGTAAGACATCAAGTTATAGCTATTAAAGAAGTTACTTTGAAGGCAAGCAGGCACATGGGAGACTTTTCCTCCATGGACTGTGCAAAAAGCAGCTCTGAAGTGGAATCTAGGCTGTGGGCTGTTTTGGGATGGCTTTGGAAGGGGGCAGCTGGGAAGCTGGGCTGTTTCTGGCACTACTTGGTGTGTTCTGTGACCCTGGACAAGTTTTTCTCCTGGTTTGTTCCCTCTGTGATGTGAGTTTGGGAAATGGCACGTGTATACAGAAGAAGGAATTACCTCTCTGTGAGCTTGGGAATGGGTGCCTGAGGTAGCACTCAGGCAGAATGACCGAAGCACGTACAGGGAGCTGCTGGCCCTAAATTCAAATTTGAGAGCTGCTGGGAGGAGAGGATGGCCTTTATCTTGGGTCTAAACTGTGATCGTGGGCTGTGTTTTCTGCCTTGCAATTGCTGTAGAAGCATCTTTGCAAAGGGCTGATTTACAGAGGCACTGGGCTGCTCTGGAGGTGATGCCAAAAGAATGAAGAAGGAGGAGGGAGCAGTGTGACCTCCCAAGTTTTAGAACAAAGCAGGTCAGCGATTTACAAGGATTTTGGTGAGATTTTATGTCTAAAAGCCACGCCGAGATTAAGTCAATAAATCATTGATTCCTACACTTTGATTTAATGCTACAGAAGGGAGAGGAAGATTTTTATAGATGTTCTAGTTGACTAATGGCCTCAGTCAACCCAGTGCGAAGCACCACATGCTTTTTAGTAATCAATCCAATCAGGGGCCCAAACCCAACAAGAACAGGAGAGAAGAGTCACATCCTGGACAACAAAAGCTGAGGCCAGCACTGCTCCCCAGCTCATCTCACAGTCCAGCTCTGCAGGGCCAGAGGGAGGCACAGGCTGCAGTTTTGGGGTCAAGAGTTGACCCAAGCTCAGTCCAGGTTCTTGAGGGATGGATTTTTCCTTCCAGCTGGTGAACTTCCTGGATTGCAAGCTGTGGTAGTTATCCCATTGTAAGCAAGTTGCCCAAGGGAGGTGAGTCCCACAGAAGGGGCTGTTTCCTCCTGCAGAGCACCCAACCCATAACCAAGTACCCCTTGGTGGCAGGGACCCCATTCTCTCACCCTGTAGTGTGGAACTGTTGGGTCCTGGTCTGGTTTGGACCCTCTCCTTGCTACTGCAGTACAAGCAGCTGCCATCATTTCCCCCCAGCACTTTGTAATGCAATCAAAGGAGCTTTTCTTGGTGCCAGCTTCCTTTAAAGCCCTTTCCTGTCTTCTTCATCTCTGCTTCTTTAACAACCTTGCTCGTCTCCCTTTGAGAAGTTCAAAGCAAGCGGAGCTGGGTGAATAATTTGCAGGGATTAATGTGCCTGATTGATCTCGCAATTTTTCCCTCTTGTTTTCAGTTTGTCCACAAATTGCTTTGTGCTTCCCTTCAATGTACTTGCTGTTTATCTGCAAAATCATCATTTCTGAGAAGGGATCTTCGATCCTGCAGTTATTGCAAGTCATTCACTTTGCCATCTGAGTCATGAGGGGAGCTATTAATAGGACAGTGCTGGCTCTGTGGTTTTGGTCCCTGGCTGGGTATCTGCAATGCCAACAAAACAGCAAAACTTGGGATGTCTGTCCAGTGATACTTTTACAATTTATGTCGAGTCTGCCTCTCCACATTGTCCCTCCTGCTTTGTTTCAGGCCTGGGGATGGAGAATATTGGTGGAATCTTCGTGGTGCTCATCTGCGGCTTGATCGTAGCAATTTTTATGGCAATGCTGGAATTTTTGTGGAGCCTTCGACACTCTGAGCAGTCAGAGGTAGGACCTGAGAGTGCCCTGGGGGGATAGTGTGTGTTTATTGCTATCTGTGGGGTGCTCAGTGGGCTGCTCTGGAGCCTCACCCAGGCTGAGGAGCATTCCCAGCCTTGACACCCTAAACACAGGAGCAGGTTTGGTCCTTTGGGGAGGGTCTAAAATCCACGAGCTTCTCATGCACTCCTGCTAAGAGAGGAGCTGTTGGGATGCTCCAGGGGCTTCTGAAGGGTTCAGGGATGTGTATAACATCCTGAAGATGGGATTTCTACCCCTGAGGATTTCTACCTGCAGTGGGTTTGGGTCTTGTGTTGATATGGGGATCCAGAACACAGGAGAGTCTCTGATGAGAGGCAGAATCTGTTAAATCAATGTAAATGCCCAAGTATTGATGTTGAAACCTGGTGGCACCAAGTCCGTAACAATTTGACATCAGAATCATGTTACAGAATCATAGAATGGTTTGGGTTGGAAGGGACCTTAAAGATCATCCAGTTCCAGCCCCTGCCACGGGCAGGGACACCTTCCACTATCCCAGGTTGCTCAGGGCACCATCCAGCCTGGCCTTGGACACTTCCAGGGATGGGGCAGCCGCAGCTTCCCTGGGCAACCTGTGCCAGGGCCTCCCCCCTCATCCCTCCAGCCTGCAGAGCAGACCCAGCCCCGCTCGGGTGAGCAGCACGGCTCCCGTGTCCCCCCCCCAGGTGTCGGTGTGCCAAGAGATGGTGACGGAGCTGCGCAACATCATCCTGTGCAAGGACAGTTTCCAGCCCCGCCGGAGGCGCGGGGGGCCGGTACGGACTCGCCCCGTTATCCCGGAGGAGCGCCGAGCCCGCAGCACGACCACGCTCAGCAACGGGAAGCTGTGCAGCGGGGGGGAGCCAGACCCCCTGGCGCAAAGACTGGCACAAGAAGCCGCCCTGGTCGCCCGGGGGTGCACCCACATCAGGGTGTGCCCCGAGTGCCGCCGCTTCCAGGGGCTGCGGGCGCGGCCGGCCGCGGGATCGCCCGCGCGGAGCGAGGAGAGCCTGGAGTGGGACAAGACCACCAACAGCAGCGAGCCCGAGTAACGCCGGGGACCCGGGGGGGCGCAGGGGCGGGGGCGAGAGGGTCCTGTTCCATTTTACAGAACACGGACTTGTACAATGTCAACTCGTTTTTAAAACCACTAGCGGTCACCCGGCTTCACACCGGAGGATTTCGGTGTCCCCGGGGGGACACGGGGCTGGCTGGAGCCTGGTGTGGCAGGAGAGAGGTCCTCAGGCTGGTCTCCGGTGGTTGTCTCCGTGCCACTGAAGGAGGAAGGACGTGGTGGTGACTGGTGTAGCAGGTATTGCCCACCCAGGGTGGAGGCAAGAGCCGTTCTTGGAACTTCTCCACCCCCAGGTCAGGAGAAGGGACACCAAGCGCTGTCTCTGCACCAAACAGACTCACCAAGGGGTGTTCTCAAAGGGCGGGGGGAGGGAGTTTTTAATTTGACGTGGACAAGGGATGGGAAGGGAGGAGTCATTGTTTTGTTTTGGTTTAATTTGGGCACGTCAGGACCTAAGTCTCCAAGGCACCAGGTTTCAGGTGCTGAGCTCTTCTTCCTTTTCAGAGTGTTGGCAGGTGGACTGAAGGAGGAAGGGAAGGGTGGGATGGGATGGGATGGGACATGCTCCCCGTGAGAAGCAGCGTTTGCTGAAAGTCCATCTGAGGAGTTGTTAAAATTACATATATATATAAATATATCTATACATAGATATATATATATTAAAATGCCAAAAAAAAAAACCCAACCAACAAACACAGTGAACTCAAAGAGGCCTTGAAACGCCTGGAATTTCAGGGGTTCTGTGTCTTTTGTTTCGTTCTGGGGTTACCTTTTGCTTTTTTTCTTCCTTTCTGTTTTTGGGATGAGGGTGGGGGAGCCTTTTGAGGGAGGTGAGGTGGGAGCAGGCGAGAGTGGGGAGCACTGGAGGGGAGGGGGGTGCTCCCTTCCCCACCAGCAGAGGGAGGTGGTGTTGGTACCCCCAAAGTGTCCACAGCCCGTGCCCTGCATGCTCCTGAGGTGACCCTGAGCTCTGCCCCAGGCTCAGGAGCTCCCCATGGGACCCACAGAGCACCCTCAGCTTCGAGGGTGACTCACAGCCCTTGTCCAGCAGCCACACAGCATTTGGGAAAACCATTAGCCCGGGATCTCATGTAAGGAAAATATTTACTTCCCTAGAAACAGCAGCAGCAGCAGCTCACCCTCTGCTTGGAACAGACGTGGGGGTTTACACTGACGAATTTAACTTTCTGATTGAAAAACAAATTCTATGCAATTTCTGATTGTAAAAGGAAAGAGATGACAATGGAGAGGGGCAGGGGAGATAAAGCCTTGAGTGAAGGTACATCCTGTTCTTGAATTGTTTTCTTTTCTTTTTGTCTTGAATGTACTGAAATAAAAGATGTCCTTGTATAATTATGCTTTTTTTTTTTTGCCCTTGTTTTTTTTTTAATTCTTCTTCTTTTTCCCTCCCTATCCACAGTCAGAAAAGCTGAGAGACAGTTTGAGGCCCATCTGCTCAGGGAGAAACCCATCAACTGAGAGGAAAGAGGTGCAGGTCTGTGCTGCCTGAGTGTGTCCACATTGTCCACATCCATGGTGTTGCTGTTACCTGTGGAAAAAGCAGAAAAAAAGCAAAGGTCAATAAAAAGGAATCTCAAATACGTGGTGATAAGGGGGAGAAAACCCTGAAGTGAGGCTGCCCAGGGTGGGCAGGTTCCCATGGAATGTGGACCATGGCAGCTGCATCCTTCCCAGACCTGCTGGGTGGATCCCAGGGAATGAAGGGCAGGCCCAGCAGGTCAAATGCAGGAGCCCATCTCCAGCAGCTGTTCCTGAGGAGGGTGTGCAGGGAATGGGGTGTGCTGCTGTGGTGGTGGGCACGTGAGGGTTGTTCTGTTGTTCCCAGCAGGTTGTGGAAAGAAACACCTGCCCCACAGGGGCATTAAAACATGCAGCAAGGAGGAGAGGATTTAGAGCTTGTTATGCAGGATGTCACAGGAGAGAGGTCCTTTCTGGCCTTCACATCTCTAAATCCACAGGATGTTCCCCTCTCCCTGACTAAAACAGAGCAGTGAGATAAGGCAAGACCTCCCCAGAGCCCAGGAATCCAGAGCCATGGGATGGGAGAGGCAGGTCCTCAGCTGAGGTAAGTCAGTAAAACTCCATCCCTGCCCTGCAAGGAGCCAGGTTGAGCTTTCAGAGCCCTGACAGCAGCACTGGGGACATCTGAGTGTGCCTGTGTCGTGCTTAAAGGCCGACATGTTTTTACGAGCAGAGGAATATATTCATCAAAAAGAAGCTGCTTTTTAAAATTTATTTACAGATTAGCAGAAGAAAAGGCTCCATGAATCATTTATCAAACCTGATGTTTTTTTCACCACTTCTACGCAGTGAATAAAGAGAAATCTTGACAGAGCCAGACATTATTCTGCATCTCCAAAGATCTTCCAGTCATCTGCTCAGACAGAGGATGTCAAGAAAAAAAATGATGGGAAACCACCTGGTTTCTCAGTGTCTTTGCTTTTTATCTCTCCTCCAAGCTTGCCCCAGCCACATGGTATTTTAGATCTGGGTCTGTATTTTAAGGAGATTTGTTACATGTCCCTTTTGCACTCTTCTCTCTTTTTTTAATTATTTTTTTTTTTACATCCAGAGGTTTTGCACTCAGAGCAGAAACGGACCTCAGAAGAAAAGGATAAAAGCTGCAGTAATTTAGATGCCTTTTCCCATGTCTCTGTGTCCTGTATTTTCTGCTCCCTGGTGAATCCTCCCAGGTTTCACACCCGAGGGAGCAGTCAGCATTATTCACGTGCCTGGGCTTGTGCCCATATACATTTTGTGTGCCCAGGTGGGTTTGCATCTCACATGTTCCCCCTCTCTTGCAGTTTGATTCTCATCTTTGAAACTGTAGTGGGGGCTCTTTTGCTCAGCCAGTCCCAATGCTAATGCAGTTCAAGATCTGGAGCAGTTTGCCGTGCAAAAAGGCACTTTCCCAGTATTGCTGTCTCCTGATAAAACTCGGGTAATTCTAGTAAGATATCTCTGCAAATTCCACCGGGAGCCAAAGATTAGATCAATTAAAATGTAATACTTTGCTTTATCCCTTCTAAGTGGTTTGTTTGAGGCTCCTGTAGCCCCCCTCTGTTCAGGAGCCCAGCACTGGGGCCGAGGGCTCACGTCTCTCCCTGTGGTGGCAGCCAATTCCCCAGCCCTGGCTCAGTCCACAGCAGTCTGGCAGGTTCCTCACTAAAAGGCCTGGAATCTCTCCCCCCATGTGCTAAACCCCATGTTTGTGTTGTTTTTCCAGGCAGTTCCATTGATAAAAAGCTGTTTTCTCCCCGGAGGTTGCATGGGTGAAGGTATTAACGAGGCTTGGACTAGCCCGGGGGCACTTACTGAGCTGAGTGGCACATAAAATAGAAAAAGGGTTGTTGTGTGGACACAGGAGCCTGCAGGACCTTGGGAAGAGAGATGGTGAGCTATAAATTATAGACTAGAGACTCAGCCCTCAGTGGTCCTGAGGCAGGAGTCTTTTTAACCACTTGAGATCCACAGGAATCTTCCCTGCTCCTGCCCTGCCAAGTCCTCTTCTCTCCTTGAACCCCAAGTGCCTCACCAGGTAAGTGACCAAAAAGGTGGAGGAAGAGGCAGAGGGAATAGCTCTTGTTTTGCTTTGTGTTTTTGGCAGAGATCCTGAGCTTTAGGAAGGATTTGGAAGGGGTCTGAGTCCTACACAAGCTGGTGGAGATCCCACCAGCACTGGGAAGTGCAGCTGTGGGCACAGGGTATAACTGGGGTAGACACAGGGATGTGGGTAACTGGTTTTGGTGGTTCTGGGGTAATGACTCTGAGTGGCAGAGACATTCCCTTGGGAAAAGGAAGGGACCTGTGGGTGAGACTGCTTGGAGCAGGCTGGCTGGTGACTGGTGTCTAATATGAAAGAGCAAATAAGCAAAGATGGACTTTGGACGGTTTGGGGGGAAGCTGTCATGATCTGGCTATGAAAAAGCTGGTGTGAGTGATCAAAGCCCCCTCATCAGCTCATTTAATTTAGCTCTGAAAGTAATTACCTGCAAGATAGAGTGTTTCTCTCTTCTGCTTCGCTTGTGCATCCAATGAAGGTGATGAAATTTCTTGCAGTGACTTCGACTAGAGGGAAAAGGTAGCACTGCCCTTCAGGAGGAGAGAGAGGCACCTCTCCAGGGTAAGGGAAACAGCCCAGGGACCTAGAGGTGTATGTGGGGGCAGAACCAGGAAAAGGAACTGCAAACTGCCATCAGAAATGGTCAGAAGTAAGTCTGGGCTCATATGTGACACTTAAAAGTCCACTGAGTATCTCCTAGTGAGGAGCTGCAGCTTGAACAGAGCAGAGAAACAGCTCGGTGTGGCCAAACACTCTGCTGAACAGAGGATAAAGCACCCACAGTTCCAGAAACCCCATTAGGGTCTGATGGCCACTAACTGATTGAAAATACAGAGCTGGACTCTTCTGGGCACAAAGTGCCACTGATGAATTCAGTATAAATAGGCTGTTCTGGAACCCGACCCTGCACTGGGTGTATCAGCTGGCTCGGACAATGGGCAGGTTTGTGCATCCTTCAGGGAGATTGGTTGGTTTTTTTCCCCTCCATGGGGGAATCTGCTGTGCTCCATTTGAGTTATTAGTCTGGTTTTGTGGCAGGACCGCAGCATTTCATCCCAGGAAGCATTCCAGGCGGCAGAGGAGGATCTGCAGCTGTCTGGGGGGGACGTGTGGCAGTCCATCACCAGCACAAAGGGCCACACAGCAGCGGCTCCCCAAGAGCTCTGCTGAGCCCAGATCACTGGGAAAATGAAGGAAGCTTAATTAACAAAGGCTTTCTCCTCTGCTGTGTTTAGGTCTGCAGTTATCAGAGCAGTTCTGGCAGTTCTCAAAGACTGAAATGACAGTAGTTGGCTGTAAAAGAGATAACTGTCAGATTAGCTGGGACATATCTCTGCCGAGGTTTTCTATATCATACCTATCTTGAAGCATCTCCATGTATCAAAGGGACTAGTTGGCCATTTGCCTCCACAAAGTACCCTTTCCAACGTGATAAATAAGGCTCTGTTACAATGGAAAGGCATAACATTTCTTGTTTCTTGACTCAGGCTGTTTTGGAATAGTGGTT